TTTCCCCCCTGATAGTCCTTTAAGTAAAATGTAAAAACAAAGACAGTCAAGAAAATGCAGTTACAGACTTTGAGATCAATACAATGATAGCACCACTATCAGTACTGACTGAGTGACTGAGTCAACATTCTTGGTAATACTTGACACTTTTATGTGTGTCAGTTTCTCCTGTGTTGTTTGGGTCAGGATGAGCCCCACAACAGACTCCTAGAGTCAGCCAAGTCACTTGTGTAATGGTTGTGACGAAAACAATATGCAGTTCACAAATAAAACAACTTTATTTAAAAATAACTTGGTGAACAAACTGATTTAAAACGGAGGTATAATTATGTATAAAACAGTTGGAAGTCTGTCTTTTTAGTAAGTAAACCAATAGGGCAAGGGTTGCGAATGATTATGTAACAAAAGGTAGGCATACGCCGAGGCAGCACTTTGTGTGAACATTTTATTTTGCATCTTTTGTTTCAAATACTCAAAAGGAAAGGAAACATCTTTAATCAATGATACATGATATGTACACATCGACCTCTAAATGCAGTGCCAGCTGTTACTTTTTAAGTCAAAATGTCAACTACAAATCAAAACTGTCCATCCCTGCTTTTAAAGTTGGGTGAGGGATGCCTTTTACTCTCAACATTTGGTCACCATCTGTGCGCTCACTAAAGACTGTTCCTCTGGTGCCACCCTCAGGCCAAAGTTGACTTCACTTTTTCTCTAAAACTTACTAGCTTTTACAGAAAGCATACAGCGCACTCTTGATCTCTGTTAAATCTGTCAAAAATTCAGATAAATGTCCAACGAAGTCTGATTAATTTTGTCCAAAAACATTGGCCACCATTAAATGGATCTATAAGAACCAGTAAATGTGATTTGAACTATTATGGTTGTCCTTTCTCCGTACTGTATGTGTAACCACAGCTTCATGAAGTCGCATTCTGCTAATCATTAAAAACATTTTCCAAATTCCAAGGGGTGTTTTATTATGAAATGATGGCAATCATTTTCATAATCACTATGATTTATTCAGCTTAAACTAATCACACTGGAGCTTTAAAGTCACATGTCAGCAAAGAGGATGCATGTGCCATGGATTGACTGCAACAGTTCAGCCTTATATAATATATGTGTGCCTTCAAGCTATATATTTAAATATCTGAAAGTTTTGAAAAAGAAATCAAGGCAAGTGTGTGAATGATGGATATATCTCTTGTGTAGTTATATTTCATGTACGAATAAACAGGATCCTTTGACTCTACTGGGTCAAAAAAGTGGTCTTTGGTCTTTTGATAAATTCCTGCTGAGCCAAACAAAAGGCAAGTGCTAATCTCATTAACTGAACAAACTGTGGCGTGGACACAATACATGTCTCCACTAAGAACCAAAGCATGCTGTGCTGTTCTTCTACTACATTAATGCTACAGGCCTTTTCAGACTGTTAAGTGACAAATGATCCATATTGTTCTCTTTACAATTAGATGAGAGAATACACAGAGGTCTGCTTTGTCTCTGGCAGCAAGCAGCAAACAAGTGACAATGTCCAACTTGAGTGGCAGCAGGAAGTCCGAAGGCTCTGTGCTTGTTCAGATGAGCAGGATTTGCATTCCAAATTCACTGATAAGATGGATAGCAAAGCTAGTGTGAGGCTGTCACTGAAATGAACTTTTCAGTCTGATGGGCCCTTAAGTGCATCAGAGGTAAAGCATGCATGCCTTGTTTAAAATAAATGGTCAGACTTTGTAGCCTAAGATTTAAAGTATTTAAATAGTAGACCCTATGGACGACACATGCCCTCACAGACAAAGGCCGGGTTTGGACTAGCTTACACTTGTGTAGGGGTTTTACTCTTAACAACAAGCTAGCATTTATATTAAAAAAAAGGAAAAACCAAAGACTGTATGTCTCCGGGCAGTTAGACTAAAACAGCAGTTTCCTTGTTTTAGGTACTGGTCAGAATAGGAAATACAATCACAGTCCAGTATTGAGTCAAGAATATGAATAATTATTATTAGATGGCATAACTCTACCTGGTTTCAAATACAATGTTTATGGAGTTTACCAGGCTGAAAAATAATCTATCAGGAATGTTAGGAACATATTTAACTGGTCAATGCAGTACACGGCCTGATGACGTTGCACTATGTTGCAGCAGAAAGCGAGTCAGGTTCCACCTTTTTGCCCAAATACCCCACGTCTGAAATGAATTATGGTGTGTATGCCTGTCTGAACATGACCTTAAATGTGTCGGGATTTTCTTTACACCTGCAAATAGTATAACTTCATATTTTCTATATGAAGTTATACTAACAGCTATAGAAAATATGAAGTTATACTATTTGCAGGTGTAAAGAAAATGAGAGAATAAAAGGCCCGCCAAATGGTTTGTAAATTCCAATGCTGTAATTTTTGTAAACAGTTTCCTTAACATGTATATGGGGTGATGCATTCTTTGGAATAGAGTAGGGTAGTTAGGATAAATCAAGTGGGTAAAAGACTAGAAACACAGTAGGATAATCTAACTGTTACTGCTGCTGTGTTTCGTTCAGGTTTGTGTTGCTTGATGTACAGTCTCTGTGAATGCTGGCTACATTATAAATAAACCAATGGTCCTTTGGGACATAAGATCTTTCCATTAGAGGAAAAACAGAGCTTTGTTTGCTCTCTCCCTTCATATCTCAGCAGGCTTTCTCTTGCACTGGCTACTCAAGTGGGTGGGTGAGGGGGGGCAGCTCCGCCCAAAAGACGCACTCTCAATATTCAAAACATATCAGTGTCTCAGTGTTGTCCTGATTTGCAGGTTAAAATGTGTGTTTGCAAGGTGTTTTAGGTTGTTATTCAGGAAGCATAATATTTGACAGAAGGGGTTTTACAGTCAGGGGTGTGCAGTGCACAAACACTTTCAGGGGAACCTCATAACCAAACTGAGGGTGGGGAGGACCAAAAAGGATGGAGCACAGATCTCAAATATCACATCTTTTAAGCAGTTACTTAAAATACTACAAGTGTGTAATAAAAGTTGCCTTGTACAATAAAAAAAGGGCAATTTTGCACCCAAGACAAAAGAGGTCCATGGTCTCCCCCCTCTTCTTCTCGCCTGTCCTCAGTGTACGCCACTGCTCAGAAAAAGCTCTAACTGAGGAAGGCACGAGACAGCATTGTTAATTTCACGAGACTGTTTATAAAGCAACTCCGTAACGAAGCAGCTAGCTGCAGACAGTGAATCTCGTGAAAGAAGCTAACTCAGTTTCGTATCCGGAATGACAGCTAAAGGAGAAGCGATGATTGGAAAGCAAGGCTACTACACAGTGAAATGGCATAGCAAAAGAGAAAGGACTGTCTGTGCACTGCGCACGTTGCTCACAGTGACGGTGGTACACCTTGTTCAGCTAACCGCCAACTTACAGTAAGCTAATTTTGCTCCTGCCAACAGTTAGTCAGAACAGTGACAGCCGACATATGCCCTGACCCTGGACTACATCACCGTACGAACCACCGACAGACACGTAGAAATGCACTGGTTTTGGCCTCTGCAAACCATTTGGCACGTATTAAATAAATTAACCATGGAATTTCTCAAATTAGACTCACCAGTGAACTCCGCTCCGCAGGTTAGAAGGTGTTAAAAAAGCAGTTTTCCGGCTGAGTCACCCCACCCTCAAACGCCAATTCTCACTACGCGATGAGCGGAGAGCGGGAATCTGATTGGACCATGCTTCATCGGTGTGGGAGCTCATTGGCCCGCTACTGACATCTGTCGTAATGTTGACCAATCACGCCTTGATGCGTTGATCATACGGAACATCCGTCATCTTTCCGTCTTGTCGCTCCGTGTCAAATCCATGGTCAAATCACTTTCCACGATGAAAGTAAACCAACATATTTTCTCAACTAATTAGTATTTATTAAACACAAGATTGACTCAATCCACCATCATTCAGAAATATTTTCCAAAACAAAAGTATTACAAATATAACAACAATTAACAAAGAATACAAAAATAAGAATTATATCTATTAATATTATAAATATTATTATATTAATGATGATAGTGATGACAATAACATTAATCTCTGTTTGCAGCTTCTTCAAAGTCAAGATTTGCTGCTCTGTCTGTGTTTTTTATGATTTAAAGTTGAATATGTGAGTATTTTTGTGACTATTTGTCAGACAAAACTTGTGTATTGCAAAGGTTACCTTTTGCGATTTTAATTTTTGTGATTGTCCTTTTCTTTTTAAATATGGGCTTTATGTGTGAACTGGTTTTAAATTCCTGTCTAAAAAAATCCATATGAAGTCTAAGGGCCTTTCTGATCCAGCAACCTCAAGATTTCTTTAAAAAAGTACGCTTCCTATTTATTTATTTTAGATCATCCAAATTCTAAGCAAGTTCTCCTCTGATGTTTAGCTGCTGTGCTGGCACAACTGCATTCCTCCTGTTTGAACACCAGGGTGCAGTAATGCACTGGATAAAAGACAAAATATATTTGGTAGAGGCTTGGTTGAAATTAATCTCTCTTATAGCTGCTTTGCTGACTGTACTGATACAGTAGTCTAGACACAACATAGAGGAGATAAACAAAGGAAGTAGATATTAAATTATGCAAATACCTGGGGAAGGAGACTGTTGGTCTATCTTGTAAATAGAACAACTGTATTTACATGTGCTAAGGACGGGCTTGTGGTAGTAGCTTGTAGTAGTGGTAATGATATTAAGAATAAAGACACACATTTGTTATTCATATGCTGATAATATTGCCTGAGCCTGAGAGTAAAATCCTCCCTCCTAATATTCACATGCTGTGAGATTCAGTGCTGGATGGCTGCTTTTATGTTACCTCAGATGGTGGGTTTATGTGATGAATTATAGACAATAGGTTGAGGGCAGCCAACAGTGCATTTATGACAGATAATAAATGTGCACTGCCAAACCAAGCCAATTGAAGTGTGCCGGTCTGGAATGGAAAAAGGAAGAGAAAAGGAGTTCATAGGCAAAAATTGTGATATTGTGTCAACACTTTATTATGCATCACCACCATGCAAAATCACTGCTATGAACTTGTTCAAAAATCAAACTAGATATATTTCACACATTTATGATTTTAGATTGGCTTGCCACTTTTCCCAAAGTGACTGAGTAAAGTTTCACACACACTCACAAGTGTGTGTATGTTTGGTGTGCAAGTCACACAGAGGTTTTTTTTTGTGAGAGCATCAACGATAACATGAAACAATGGGAAATGATTGAACATTAAATCATAAACCGTTGATAGTAAACACAGTTTGTTCATTGCCCTCACCGGTGTAAACCTTAACATTTGAGTTATTTCGAAGTCTCTGTGTCTTTAACAAGATTTTAAAACACATCAATCTAGATATTATATTTAAGTGACAGTTTATATGTAGACAGTGTACATATATTTGGATAAAATCCCTTCTCAGCATCAGATTTAATGAGCTTTACCTCATTTGTCCAGTGAATACAACTAGAATTTCTGCTAAGCAGGTGTTTTGTTGTTCGCTACATGCTGCATTGACGGTTTGAATGAGCTCCTTTCAGAGGTCATCCAATCAGCTAAGGCATGTGTGCATTATAATAACTAATGTATAAAATAAAACAAACTTATCAGATTGGCCTGCTCCAAAAACACTCGACAGAAACAGTAAGAAATCTATGGACTACTCGTTGAATCTGGAGTTATACATTTATAAAATAATGCACATTTGAACTATAACTTCGACTCCAACGCAGGTTTATTTTTTAAATCAGAAGACAAACACTTATATGTGATTAACTGTTTTGCAGAAACAGGAGAATTTGAAGTGTAGTTGAACATTTGCTTAACACTTCACAAAAAAGAAAAGAAAGAAAAATACCCCAAAGTCATGAGTTTTTATGGCACCTGTGGTGTAATAGACAGCCCACTAACTAATCTCTTTATATCAGCTCACAGTATTACCTTAAATATGCGGTTGTTTAAAAAATATTTCTTTACATAAACGTATTCTATGGTTGGATTCAGCCACTTAAATTCTTCATGTCTTCAGTGCTCAGTCCTGTCGGCCCAGTGTCGTCTCCTCCAGTGTCTTCTACTATTGTTGCTTTTCATATTGCTCTCCTGTTAAGCGTACAAAAAAAACATTTTATTTCATTGTGAATAAAAAAAATTGGTCAAATCTTTTCTTTAAGGTTGACTGTTGTTGGCGCTACATGCTAGAACTACATTTGCTGAGGCAGCTTTTAGCTTCTACTGTATGCGCCGCAAACCTGGAACAAACTGCCTGAAAATCTGCGGTACACCCTGAGTTCTTGTAAATCAAGATTTAAAACCTTCCTTTGTGATGCTGCCTATCCAGAGAACTGTGCTTTATCATTGCACTTTAGCGCTTTTTGCTGCAGCCATTCTTTTATCCCTTTTTGTTTTGAATTATTACGTGTTAATCCCTATGTAAAGCACTTTGAATTGTCTTTGTGTCTGAAAATGTGCTATTTAAATAAACTAGCCTTAACCTTAACCTTAGAATGAAATTAAAAGTGTATTAATTTTACATAATCATAGTTTTGTTTTAAAGGAATATGTTGGATGTGGCATTACTATATGCATCCATTGTCTGCTATCTCTTTATTGAGACCTATGATCAGAAAGGTGTCCGTTGCCCATGATTTGAACATTTTAAAAATGATTGGCGAACTGTAAAATCGGTTCCGATTGATTTCTTTTAATCCTCGGGGAATATAATCTGTCACCCATATGCATTTTTAATATATTGCCATATGTTTTTGTCAGGCCTCTTCCTTGGACAAACCATGTTAAAGTACTGGTAACTACATGTTATCATTATTTATGGGCTTTCAAGGAAAAAATGCTATGCAAAATATTACTAAGAAGAAAAATGCGTAAATCTATGGAAAAACCTCCATAGATTTTTCACAGAGGAGGACATACAGTAAAGACATTTTATTTGATTATGTTATTTTAGATACTTACCAGGAACCTGAGCTAGCACTGTCACTGCTGCAGCGTCACCTGTACAACAATTTAAAAACAAACGTATCAAGTTAGAAGAAGTATTGAGAAGGAGCTATTTCATTATTGAAAAAGACACATATTGCAACCTTCTCATACCATTTTTGTCTTGCAAAGCTAAAACTCACCATGCAGGCTTTCTCTGGTTCCTGCCTGTGCTTCATCAGCTCCTCCAGCTGGAGCTCGTCCTCCAGCAGCTGATCCAGATCGCTCTCAAAACTCTCCTCCTCTGCTGCGCTGACACGACTGTGACAGATAACACACATTTTAAAAACAAGACATAAGATCAGACGTCTTCCTGAAAACTGAAGGTATTGTGACAGAAAACAACAACAATAGGAAAACAATTTTCAGGTCTGAACACCAACTTGTAATATCGTATAATAAATATAAATCACACAATTCTCCATAGGCAATATATCTTCATGCCGTTTTTGGGGAAGGTAAATTATAATATATTTATAATAATATTATTAACACAATAAGAAGAAATGTACTTGCTAGATTTGAAGAAAATTGTTATAAGATATTGTGATAAAAACTAATTCACAAACATATATTCACATCAAGCACCTATGAAATCTTAGAAGTTGGAAGATTTAAAAGCTTGTGTTTATCATATTAGTATTAAATGAAATGTCCGTTCAAAATTAAGAAATAGTTTTGTGCACAAGATGGCAGAGTAACATTTTTAAGTTTAGTTTAAAAGGTGGCAACATTTGCTAAATATTCTCAATGATCACACGTCTCTATGAAACGAAGCAAAGCTGGCAACAGAGAAAAAAGGTCAAGAGGAAGATTCAAGGTGTGCCAGAGCAGTTTCAGAGCTTAAAGGGGACCTATCATGCAAAATGCACTTTTGTACGTCTTTTATACATGAAAACAAAACATGAATATGTGTCCCCGGTGTTCCAGGGAACTCACCAAGTGTCAGAAAACACAACCCTCTCTATTTTCCTCCATACCCAAATCTCTAAAAAAGGGGCTGCAACGGATCTGATAAAAACTGATCCAGATTTGAACACTGTCCTGACGTCAGGACAGTGGCGCTACGGCTATTGGGCCAACTCCACCAATCAGGAGGAGACAGCCACGGCCATTGCCGTTCAAAAGCGAGTCAGTAGATGGTGCTGTTCTCACTGAATCTGCCCTTGCAGAGCAGAGCTAAAAAAAAGTGCAAATTGAGCGAAATGAGGCATGGCTAAAATGCATGATCTGTTTGGTATTTTGAAAACAGAAACGTATAAATATACCTTAGGTATGGCCCTACAATATATCATTTAAATATACCATGATAGGTCCACTTTAAGCAGCAACAATGGATGAGCTAAACTGTAGAAGACAAAAACTATTACTTGTTATGAATCATTGATGAGACATCCCACAGTAATACCTTGTTTTAGATGTGAAGAAGGGATCTGAAGAGGTTGCGGCCAAAAGGTCACTGCGCCCAAAGTCTGAATCTGCAGTGCTCTCAGTCTCACTTCCACCTTCTGTAAGAAAAATATATTTTAAAACAGAGGTCGTCTCAAAATGTAAAAAGCAAACCCAACTTTTTAAAATTCATGTTTTACCTGAATTGAGTTCCTTAACCAGCGAAGACATTGTGTTGGTGATGGAATCAGCAGCAATGAGGAGGTCGTTTCTCAAATTTCTCCTCGGACCTTTAATAAAACAAAGTAAAAAGTGTTGCTTCCACTCATCCTTAAATCATTAAATATGAATGCAAATGAATGCTTTTCTGTGTTACCCTGAGCGAAGGCCTCCTGAACATCCCCTCCCACGCCCATGAGTGAGTCCTGAGGTGTGTGAGTCGGTGTCGTGCCGGCAGAGTCTGAGTGGATCGGGGTGGGGATCGACCGGCTGATGGTGTGGCTGGGGGAAGAACGTTGAGAGCCGGTACCCTGAGTCTGCAACACATTGAGGACATTTAATTATTTATTTATCATTTCAGAGCTAACTAATGCCACACTGTTGGCATTGTTAACAGAGAAACCCATGCTGTTATGTTAAGACTGTAAGAAGAATAACATACAATCCTAATCAAAAGGTTTCTTATCAAAGAAATCCTTTTGCAAGAAATGCAACAAAAAAATGTTCATCTTAAGTGTTCAGATCACAGCAACAAAAATCTATTCAAACTCCAAAATACAGCAACAAACAATTAAATCCAACTGTAAGAGAAGCTTAGTTGTTCTAAAAGTAAAACGCATTAGCTTTATTAGTTAAATACATTACACACATATAATGCAGATCTGTTATGTCAGTACTTTTCATGAGCAGATCTTCTTTCAAATCTTCCAATTGTTCCCACAGAACAAACCACGAGTTAATGCCTGCTGTTCAACACCATGCATTTCCAAATTCAAATAGAGTTTTCAAAACAGCAAATAGTTTATTCCCAACATGCAATCATTTTTAATCCAAATCCAGTTTCAGCCACTTTTTGCTTCACAGTTTCACACTTACAGCTTGTTGCCGTTCCTCCTCCAACTGAAAAACAATATTTTATGGCTCATGAAAGAAACAACCACAATATTGCATTGAGTATTTCCCAAAGAAAATCCAATCAGTAATCCTCCAAAACGTGACAAGCATGTGGCTTCCTCGTGCAAGTTTAATGGATTAGCATTGATCCTTTTAGCTTAATTAGATTGATATCCTCCCCACTGAAGCCAGTATAGTGAGCAGTTTATGTAGGCTTTGAGGAACTCCTGTCTTATTGACTGCAGAAGGATATCCTCCTTAGAGGAAGGCTAGACATGTCGTTTTACAGGGTGTGATGGAGCATAATCCTAAACTCAATATCCTGCTTCTAAAAGCATCTGTCTGGACTATTGACTCTTGGATAACATAGTTAATCAGGGGCATATGTGACATGATTTACAAAAGAATATGTTAAAGATGGCTCGTGTAACAAAGACCAAAACACAGAATTATAGCCTGTTGTTATTCACAAATCACTTGAATGACTGACACAGAACATCACCTAGATTATACATGTTTCTGAACACGGTAAGAGTTAGTTTAACAGGCCTAAATGATGTAGTTGATAAATAGAAAAACACAGAGCAGCAGATATTGAATAAATAGCTCAACATTTTAAATATAAATGAGAGTGTCCTGCAGTTTTTATTTTGACTGTAAAAAAAATTGCATAATATGCCTCAACCGAGGTTGACTTGTACAGATGTACGCCCTCTAATGGACATGTTAGGCTACTGCTGACATCTGCAAAGTGCAGCGTTTGCTTTAGCTGTAGTGAGCCGACACAGCTGTGAGAAATTGTAATACAAGTGGAATCCATCATCCATCATATGCTCTCCACCTGCCTCCAAATAAAAAACAACCTACGATACACGTGCCCATTTAAATAAACATGCAAACCTTAACTGCAACAGAGCTGAATCTGGCCAAAAAGCAAAATCATGAAACTTATTTCTCCCTACAAGAACCAGAATATGTGTTTGCTTGGTAATTATGAAGGCGTCTTATCTGCGGTCTGTATTACAGCGCTGTGAAGTCAGAGAGATGAAAGGCTCGTCTGTAGTACCTTGAGAAGCATCATTAGCTGCTCCAGCTGCACCATGAGCTCCCTGCGACTCTCCTGCAGAGTCGACATTCTTTGTTCCAGCTCATCTTTGCGTTGCCTAGCAGAGGAAACAAGTTGTACAGCGTGATGATACCATACTGTCGTGTCAGAAATATCTGTAAGAACATCTGTAGACTGCTGTAGGAAATTAATTACAATATTAGTTCTGCTGCAGCCTAAGCTAAAGTGTCTGTATAACCGCACAGCATCGTGAGGATTAAAGGAGGCAGAGCTACCTGAGAAGTCGTAGCTCAGTCAGGAGGGTGGGGTTCTGCTGACCCCTGTCAGGCGGCAGCTGGGAGGCCTCCTCATGCTGAATGCGCAGCCGCTGGATTTCCTGCAGGATGTCTCTGTGACACAAATAAGAGCAGGTTATAAATCAGACATCTGAACAAACTGGGAAGCTGCACGTTGCTACTGTGCTACATAATCTTGGAACAACTTCCAGAGAATAAAAATAAGGATGAAAAAACTCTGATGAAGAAAATAAAATAAATGCAATATTTAAAAAATTAACAATGTTACATGTAAATAAATTCTGAATTGAAATAGATAGGTTTCAAAAGTATTTATAAGAGTGGAGTTTGCCATTACTAGATGTAAAGTTATACAGTTTAGAGTTATAAAAACACAAAGCAGCTTACTGTACTGTCCAAATCAGACATGTATAAATCTGCAGTAAGTGATTTTTTTTGGCCACTCGGGGGCACCGGAAACAAGCTGAGAATACAACATTTGATCACATCTGTTAGAGCAGAGAGAGCACTATTGGTTTATGTCCCTAGATTTATGAAAGCTTCGCTCTTTTCTGCAGTTTCTTTTTTACTCCTGAAGGAAGTATCTGGCTGTTTAGCTTCTCAATACTTCACTATGTTCACAAACTTGTTGGTAGCTTTGTCTGTCTGCTATTCGATGTAGGACAGGTTAGAGTATTGTCGTTTTTTATTGACTCTCTTGTGACACCAAAATCAACAGTAAGAGCAAACTCAAACAGTAAGGATGCTGGCCTGGAAAGCCAAACAAGCAGGGTGAAAGACCCTTTAGACCTTTGCCCAACATATATGTTGCCTTGTAGGAAAATTAACGGTGTTACCAACAACATAAACCATGGCTCCTTCCATGCCGGTGTGACCATGAGCCAATAAAGCTCTGTGGAGCTGAGGGGAACGGCACAGTCGGGTGATATTTCTCTTTGTGTTCCTCACCACAGTAGATGCCATAAACAAGTGCCCACGTAATTCATCATGTATTTATATGAAATACAAAGTATAAATGATGGCTGCATTAAAACTTACATACTTGTTCACTGTTGCCTGTAATTGAACCTTTGTCTCCACTTCATTATTCACCATTATTTATTGCTGTCATTTAAACTTGCCGTTACTTTCAATGATACTGTAAGTCTTCCTAACTGCTTTTCTTTAGTTTTTTTCCTAGATTAATTCCTAGATTTAATTTATTTTTAACATGTAACAAATAGGTTTAACAATAAATATAAAACAAAATGGATATAATGTAAATAATATTGAATATATAAATTATAAATGGAGATAATATACTGTATAGCACTCTCACTCTCGCATACAATTTCTTGTTTTGAAAAACATAAAAAAACGACACAAATGAACATTACATGTCCGAAAGGAGTAGGAAAAAAGTCTACACTTACACTATTCCACTAATAACATCTTATCCCTTTGAACAAAATCATACTTGGACTTTGCATGAGTTCTATATCCAAACCATTTCACAAATGTACCTATTTTAAGCAATATGTAAAGCTATTTTGAATTGCTGCCATGTATGAATTGTCAAATGTATATAAATTGCCTTAAAAAATCGTATTATATATATTCATTTCACAGTTAAAAGGGTTTATTTTGTGAAGACCAATTTTATTGAGGCGGCTAAGAGTAGTCCTTCCTCTTATTGTATGTTTGAAGCGCAAATGGGACAAAATAATCGACTTTTCATAAATAAATTGTGTAAAAAGGCTAATTATGAAGGTTTCTAATAATAATAGTGATTGTTTTCAGTGCTGAATTAACCTTGAGGTATTTTAATTTTGTCAGACCATGAATCTTTTGTGAATATCTTGATTTTGCAGTATTTAATATGAAGAAAGAAGGAGATAACATAAAAGGAGTGAACAGCATCACCCCAGCAGCCGTCCTGACCTGTTTTTGCTCTCGAGCTCGGCGATGAGCTGCCTCTGCTGTTTGTTGGCATCCAGAGAGCAGGGGAGGTCTGTGGGGATCCTCTGCTGCTGAGCCTGTTAGAACCGAGCAGGAGACATCACGTGAGCTGGCTTTACCTCATCCATTACCTTATCTCATATCTCACAGGGGGGATAAAACAGTCAAGTCACCAGCCATCCATCAAGACCTGATCCGAACATAAACCAGCATACAAGTCTTCTTAGAAATGATCATCACCTGAAATCTCCTTTATCATCGTGCAATAAAAGGACAGAAGGCGGAGTGGCAGCATACGTTAACCCATCCTCTCAGATTTTTGGCAGAGGACTCAGATGAAAGATGCCACGATATTGTGAGCAATAAATGTCTTTTATATATTAATATATATCTTACCGCAGCATCAGCAGCCAGTCTAGCAGCATAGCGGGCGATGAGACTGTGCTCTTCATCATGATAGCTCTCCAGCAAACTGATCGAAAGGAAAATGGAGTCACAACAGGACACAGTTACGACACAGATATACGTACGATACAAACTATGCAGGAAAAATCCAAGAAAGTTAATTTGATCAAAAGTCAGATTAATTGTTTGGGAGGCGAGCTTCAGAGGTTTCACAGCAGAGGCCTGAGTAATCACGCTAAACTACTTATAGTCAACCACAAAAGCGGGATTGAAGTTGGATTATCACATAAAAATAGAGCTAGAGAAATCATTTGTATTTAAAGAACAGAAGGGTTGCTTATACAATCTGACCACTGATAAAGGAAACTGTTTCTCAGCAAAAGCACTCAAATGCACACAGAAACTTATGTGGGAGTGGCTGATATATAATACAGATAACGTGATACATGACAATGCAAGTAGAATTAAAAACACACACATACTGTACATAAGTATAATATTGCACACAAACACAAAAAAACACAGGATTACAGAATATGTCCTATTCCAAGTGGTACAAATATAAATCTAAACACATCAGTCTTGCTTTACTAAAGACAATACACCAGCTTTACCAACACATTAAAAGATTACCTATTAAAGAGGAATCTGAGGAAAACAAACGCTTAAAGTGTTTAAAGTATTTGGTACCAATGAATGACCTAATCTGCCCTTAACATACGGAGCTGTACAGTTTTATTGAAAAAATATAGGAGTGTTAGGAGTAAAGAGTTACAGTACATATAATGGACTTATATAATTACAAAAAAAAAAAAAAATACATTTCAACAAACAAAGTGGTTTAAGGGTAAGATTTGAATATGTTGTTGCTTTCGATCGTAATCTTTTATTTAAAATATTACATTTATTTTGTTGCTCTGTTCCAATCCAATATGTGGTTGCATATATACTGTAAAATGTCATAAAAGTTTGACAGTGTTGAGAACTCTCCGTGGTCCAAGTTTATGTTTTTACAAATATTCAACTTTATTGCTGAGCTTTAAACATGTGATCGAATGTAATAAGAAAGATAACTTTGACGAAGTTATTAAAAAAACGTACATTACTTGTTACATTTGTAAGGGGGTTAAAAGTGATCTGTTAGCCGTTACATTTGAAAATGACCTTCCCATTGCTGCAAATATAACACTTTTTTCATGAGACTTTTACTTGTATGCATATTTCAGGCAAAGACAACAACATATACATTTTAAGATTGAGAAAAGTGTAATATTAAACGTTGTGTAGTCGTGTGTATACTTACAAGGTATTTTAAGAAAGAATGTAACCTTGGTATTAAATCCAAAAATAATACTGATCTCTAGGTGGACATTTTGGATACAAATCAGTTATAATTTCTGCTGAACAGAAGGGTCAAGTGTCGAGGTGACTAGTCTGTAAAGCTGACAACATGCAGCGTTAGGGCTCTAACACACTCAGAAGAGGTTAGATAAGGGGAAGGTTTGCAAAGCGGGCGATTCAGGAGAGCACTGGGTTTCCACTGCTGTTTGGCAAACACAGCGGCACACCAAACTAACCATGATTTGGGGTTCTTTTGAAGTAGCTTCACATAGAGACCAATCAGAGCATGTTCGTCTGCAAGTCTATCGGCAACATCGAGGTTGTAGCTCAACCTGGAACAGTGCAGGGTTTCAAAAAACATAAAACACCACATTACACAGGGGACAATAGAAAGACGAGGGGAGAGGCAGCAGAGAGAGAAAAGTAGAAAACGCAACAAAGGAGAAGAGGAAGAGAGTGGCTGAAAAGCCGTCCATTCATGAGTGACTAGAGAGAAACAAGGCCATATTATGTTTGGGAGACATAGCAGTGATGAAGGCTAGGAGCACGATTAAGGACATGCCCAGCAAAATAAGACTCTACAAGCTCTGTGTTTACATTCTCCAAGCTTCAATCACTCAACGCTCTGTTATTAAAACTATTTAAGTCATTATTTGTAAGCCAAACAATCTGCCACCCGAGATATGTCATGCATGCACAGTCTTTTTGATGAAGCTCCAATATTTATAGAGGCATTCCACCTGCATCACAAACTACTAAAGCAACCATTTCTACTGACAATATTCAGGGTCAATGCGAGCTATGACCATAACATGTCTTAAAAAAGCAGCAATAGCAAAGAAATGCATAGTGAATACATCCAGAGGAAAAAAATATGAATATAACTAATTGCATGCTTTCTTGTAAAACATGTTTTAGTTATGTATTTGCTTCTTTAATCTTAGCTCTTAAGCATTTCAAATTGTAGCTAGCTAAGCTCAGATATTAGCATTTTCACTTGTTAACCAGCTACCAAAGTGCTGAGCTACTAGCAAAACAGCTCATTAAATAAATAAAAAATACCAGCTAAATCATCATCTCATCACGATGGCCTCAAGCTACTATGAGCAACCCCTTTCACATAACACATAGTCATTTAATCCATTGTTGATATATAAATATTGGCTACCGCAACTTTAACAGAAAGTCTACATAAGAAACATTGTGGGCCTAAACCATTACTATATTTAGATAATTCTTCATCAATCTGTGTTTTAATGGTATTTCTTAAATGTGTCTATCAAAGGTTGTTGTGCTTTATTGTATAAGTGCAATATTAAATCTGTAGACTGTATAATCCAGCGGCTTAAAGTCTAAAGTCTTGCCATAAAGTTTGGGAATGTAATAAGGTATTCTCAGTCATTGTTTTGCAAAAAATCTCTGAAAGCCCTGTTTTTTTTTGTGTCACTGCAGAGAGTAAACAAATCAAGCATAACGTAAAGAACCACCCTCACTCATCACATCTGTAGGTTTTTCTACAAGCCTGAGTAATGAATGAAAGTAGTGTTGGCTAAGAGAAAAATCCTGATACTTTTACCTTCCAAAATACAAACATTAAATTAATCCCAAACAAATACATCATAAACATCGAGCCTGAGAAATTAAACAGTTTAAATGCTAAGGTGTCTAGAGGAGATTAAGGGAAACGTTGAAAGCGGCTTATATTTGAAACTGGCAGTTAGTATTTCCCATTTCTGTGTGAAGGAATTACTAACAGACTCTTCAAACTAATTGCCAATGATTTTTATGATGCGTGCTTCATCCTTGATTTCCTCTTTGGAAAAAGCCCCTCAATTAAAACAATGTATACAACCCTATATAAGAAAACTGGTTCCTTAAGGAGGATAAGCAGCATTCACGTTTATGACCTATGATTATGACCTATATTAGTTCACACATGCATTTGAGCTACAAAGGCATTCTTGATGCACACCTGTGTGACTTACCCTCTCCCTCTAAACAGATGTGGAGCGGCCTCGGTCAAAGGTATTCTTTGCCTAACACTGTTACTCTTGCTGTAAGGTAAGCCATTTAAATTTAGCACAAGGAACCAAAAAGAAGAAGAGGGGGCATGAGGATATACAAATGTACAGACACAGACACACAATGGAAAATAAAGGAAAGAAGTAAAGACAGTGTGGGTCACAGAGTCTACAGGGTATGGGGCCTTTAGGGAGCGTGGTAAACTGAAAAGATTTTCTTTAAAATCCAGGACATCCATTGTTGGGGCTGTACTCACTTTTTGGTGGAGTAAGGGTTCCCTGATGTAGGCATGGAGTTGGAGAATGAGTAGTCACTGGTGATGTTCAATGGTCTCGGTGGCCTGGACAGAAAACAGAAAATGAGTTGATTTCTTTACATTTTATAATCTCTACATTTCTAGTTTGGTAGATGACCCGCTGTCAGACATATATAAGGATATAATAAATTATGAAGGGAGTGGTAAACAATGAGAACATGCAGTGAATGGAGGAATTAATCCATAAATCGACAAACAGAAAACCAGGGACTGTGAGTTTGCTAGGGCTGATGGAACTACACAATATGATGAAGACAGAACAAAGGACTAACGTCTACGCTCACAATAAAGTACAAAGACACATTTAGTGACGTTTACATTTAGTAAATAATCAAAGCAAACTCACCAAGTATCTCTGAGGAAAGTGCAGAACAAGAAAAATCATAAAAATGATTCATTACAATCAGCCCATCATTGCAAAGACACTACAACTACAAATTCCACTCATTTACCAAAACAGACAAGAAACAAAATGTATGTTCTGTTAATTTTCATGTTACTGCTATTTTTTGTCTTTTTGATTTTTCAGAATATAAATATCTTGAATAGCTATATCTCGGACACAATTATGTGTTCTAATTCAATTTAGAATGTTTCAATATTTATTATGTGTATGTGTTAACGATACCTATAAATGGATATAGTTTATCAGATTGGTTTTACTTCCAGAAACTGACACAAATACTTTATAAATACAGTATTGTTCAGGCACCGACATTCAGTTCAATAATCTGAATAATTTTGGCTGTTTAAGGGTTGTAAAATAGGGCAACTACCTTCAATTTGAAGATAAAAAAACAAACAGATAAATACGGAAGGTGGGTTTTTTTCTCCCCCAGAAGGAGCATTACTGTATAAATCCTTATACCCTCCTTCTATAGCACAAAGTGTGTGCTTGTGTAGTCTGTCGTTTCATTATTTATAACACACATGAAACATCAGTCAAGTCAAGGGAAAGGTAGCAGCAGTGTTGCAGTTCACAGCCATCCCCTGGGCTATAATTAAGCCCCATTGATCAGTTGACCCAAGAGATTGACTGGAATCACTTCAGACTTTGAGGCAGCTACAAGATAATTATCAGCTGAGGGAGGAAAGCAAACATTTGAAACCCTCAGATAGAGAAGTCAGGAAAAGCAGATAAACTCACACAATATGATGGAGGTTGAGAGGTTTTTCTGGCATTTCTGGAAACATGGGGTGAAGAGGCTCTCTGCTGGATGCACAGCTCAGTGACTTACTGAGGGCATGGGATAACTTCTTAGCAGGGGATTTCTGGGAGAAACAGAAAAAACACATTACGGCAACACTGCCACCTGCATCTTTACATTTTGGTGAAGCAGAACGGGGGGAAAAACCCGCCACAATGACTGGTCCAGTGCAGACACACCTCCCTCAGCCCGCCCCACTCCTCCTCCCATCCCTTACCCATGACGTATACTCCTTCATTTGATGCTGGTTGCTATGGGAACCGCTGGCATGCCCCCTCCAGAAGCAGTCCTGACAGAGCTGGTAATTATGACATTGCTGGCAGCGGTAGCGGAAGCCCATCATACTCTCAGTACGGCAGTAGGAGCACTCGACCGGGTGAAAGACTGCAGGGAGGAGAGGCGGGGTCACACACACAGATGGACACACACATTCACACCGACAGATGTGAGTGTAAACCCACAGATATGTTGCACATTGCAAAGAGAAGGGGGGATTAATTTGCAATAATTTAAAGGACAGATGTGCAATTCAGTCTGGCTTGAAGACAACGATAATTTAATTTGTACCAAATACACACAGATCAGGATGCCAGAATGTTGTATAAATGTTGACTGTGTTTTGACCCCTCAAATGGAGGTGACTTGTGACCATAAGTGCATCACACTCTCAATCATGAAGAGGGTGTAAGGTCCTTATACTGTAGGTCATCTTCACTGGATGCATGACTGCTTCTGTATAGTGACTCAAGATTAGGATACTAAGATGAACTGTACATCCTCCCCAGGTGCTAGCTTCACATTTATAAATATTTTGGTGTGTATATTTTTACCGTTCTCCACGTTGGCGAGCCGATGCATGAGAGGTAACCACACCAGACACTGAGGGGGCGGGTCTGACATCAACGTATCGAGGAATGTATTGAGGGAGACCTTTTTCTGCAGAGGAGAGGGAGATGATTCGTCAGGAAAAATCCCCCACAACGTCAATACTAAAACAATCACAGATGCACTCTGTGGTTAATGAACCCTCACCTGCTGTGGAAAGCATGTTCTTGCAGCTTGTTCAGTGTAACCAAAAGAAGGTCCCTCAAAAACCGCCATGGGTAATTTGAGCACCTCCCTCAGAAATTGGTCAAACTGTGAGTGCACCATTATTCCAGCAGCATCCGAAATCAGGGAAAAAATATCTGGGACAGAACGCACGGAGACATTACACAAATGAATCAAACTAATTGGCAGTTGCCTCCACAGTCGGCTAATTACAGCATAACACAATACAATTATCCCACTTATTTGTGAAAACAAATCAAAGACAAGCAGTTATTCAAATCAATTGTTATAATACATCAGCAACATAGTCCTCCTTTTTTTCCCTTCACGAGCCATTGCGACTACACCCACAGATTTTGTAGATTATGTAATAAACCTTATCCTTCAGATAATGAATAATGACTTCTACCAGCCATGAAGAGCTAGGCCAGTACGGCTCCTTCCTTTATGAGCAAGTGGCTAAGCAGGCAGAGATATAGAAAATACAGAAACTAATACGTTTGCATTAGAAATTCGGAAGCAATACATTACTTACATAGAAACTGTATGAAGAAAATAAGCTGATTTATCACAGATAAAATGGGTGATTTCAATTACATTTTTCACAATTACAAGTGAAATAAAGATGGTTTTGTTTGCTCACATCTTAATTTATCCAGGATTTTCCCTCCACAGATGGTTGCTACGGCCATCTTCACAACAAATACAGATATCTTGCCATGGCCCTCCCTGAAAAAGAGCAAATACATTTTACATAATAGTCAGAGGCTCTTTAAAAAAAAAAGCTGGCACGGCCCATAATCATATCAACCTTAAAAGGCAATTAAATTACATCGTCTGACATTTTTTTAAATTGGCTTTGAGAATATACACAAACATGTTGTGACATTATGAAAGTAGACAATCTGTGTTTTTACTCCACTTTGGTAGACACTTCAGAGACACATTTCACACTACATTAGCTCACGTCAAAACCCTCAGACGAGAAAGTACACAACCAGTCGCAGACATCACGTGACGCGTTACTCACGGGTCATACGATGCCAGCAGGAAGTTGAGCAGCAGGCTGATGGAGTACTCCACATTAATCTGGTGGGTGGTGGGCATGCGTTTGTTCAGCTGGTAAAAAATTGTAGACAGTACGACTTCTAGACGAGCCACTGAGAGGTCAGCGCTGAGGTCCATGTTGTTGATGCCATTCTCTCGGAAAGCCTCGATGATGTTCCAAATGTCAACCAAATGCACTGAAACAGGGAAAACGAATATAAATATTTGGATGCAGAGGATTTTGTGCAAAGTGATGAGGTTAAAGGTTCAATGCATCATACTCACAATTGCATTTCTTCTGCACAAATCTGAGCTTGCAGGCTGTTCTGTATGTCGATAATCGTATGGAGTCCAAATCTTGAGCCCCTGAGGAAAGATTACTCATCATTAAATGACATCGGAAATGTCAATGATAGTGCATAGACATTGTGGCAAAGTTCTCACTGTGTACAATGCATTGTGTTGTGTCTCACAGCACACAAATATTATATTTTTATCTGCAAATTTACTTTCATTATTTTTTCTCATTTGTGATTGATTTGTATGTAGTAAGAAACTGGGACAAGGTCTCATTAGGAAACATGGCAATATGAAAAAAAATAGAATAAAATAAATATCGTATTGATCATATATTTTACAATTTCATGGTTATATTATGTCTGCAATCCTCACTTTATTTTACTTCCCTATATCTTATTGACCTGATATTGAACATCTTGGGTCTCCATAGCAGTGAGCCTTTACACACGTGTGAGAGAGCATGAGGTCATACAGGGTGTGTCTCTGTCAGGGTTTAAATCAATCCGGTTGATACGAGTGTTGGCAATTGATCCTCATAATATTTGCTTTTGTAAGAAAGTTACAGACAAGAATTTGCCATGTTTATGATGGGTGAGTAAAAAGAGCAGACAGCAGACAAACATAGATCAGGCGGAGCCGTGGCCCTGAGCACTCACTCATCTCCACAAACAGTTGCCTTCGATCTGCCATGTTGTCACCGCTCCCCCCGACGTCTTCAATCATTCTGACCAGAGGAGAGAAACTGATGTCAGAGAATTCATACACAGAAACAGTTCACATTAAGGCATACATCACTGAATATGCACATCCTAATGCTTTAAGCTTGATTCTGTTTAAATTGAGTGCAAAAATGTATTTTCAGAAGCATTAGTGAGGGAATATAGGAAATCCTGTGTTTTAATTATATGTAAAAAACGGCTGTGTCTTACTGAAAGTCCGGATAAAATTATGATAAGATGTCTTCTTTTACTCAGCCGTTTTGTGAAGATGCTGTATTATAGATATAAGGATTAATGAAGGCCTACTATATGTAGCTGACATTACAAATATCTTTGTCTACAGGCAGTGTTGATGTATGTAAAAATGAAATATCCGTAAACTCCCGAGTATATACTGTACATCTGCAAATAAGGGTTCAATTAAATGTACAGAAAGTACAGTGTTGACTATTGACTTTGTGCTGTACAATAGTAAAATTGCAACCACAAACATCTGAAAAAAAACAACATTTGTTAAACTCATGTACATAATGAATCTATAAAGCACTCACCACTTGGTTAACCTAGTAGAAGTACTGTTATAAAATTAGGCCCATTTCACAAGTCACAGCTAGATCTTGTCGTTTTCACTTTAAATGTACATTATTTCTGTTCAAGATATATTGTGCTTGCATTGTGAATTTCAACCCTAATTAAATAACTTAAAACAAACTATTACATTCCAAATGGTGGGACAACAGGGGCCCACAACACATTTGAACCCTAGGACCCCATTTTAGCTTTATCTGGCCGTGGATAATACAAATGAACCTCTCTTTTTCAGTTTCTTTTAAAAAGAACATTTGCAAATTGAATGTAGCACACTACAGTGCTTACATGCATGTAAGGGAGGGTGGGGGGCTATACTGAAAAGACTTAAGTAAGACAAGGACAAGACTTTCAAAGGGGCAGAGCAGCAGAGAGAGAGCTCACACCATGCCTCGCTGCACACTGTCCAAGGCAATCTAATACACCTAGTCATGTGGTTTGTTGCCATGGCAGCAAAGATCCCAGCCACTCCGTCCGTAAAAAACATAGTACTAGTCACCCCCCCATACACACACATATATACACACACACACACACACACTGCACCTCCCACTGCACACAAGCAAAGTTTAAAGAGTTTTTTTACTCGTAAATATCTTTTGTGCAATAAATGCACGGTGGGATGAGAGAGCACAGTGGCACTTATTGGGCGAGTGGTTTCAAAAACACTCTTTCTGCAAAGTCGATCGTGCAGGCGTCGTATTTCAAATTACTTACATGACATTAATTGGTATACCCAAATATTATGCTGAAGAAACCCATGGTGTGGAAATTAGAATTCCCCTAGAGTTAAAAAGCAAGCAGCAGCAGCAAACTCTCCCCCCCCCCCCCCCCCCCCTCTGGTTCAGTCAGTATAGGCAGTCAATTATGGAGCTATAGGAATCTCTGAAATCCACTTTAAGAGGGAAAAGATTAAGCTTATAAATTGACCTGGAATTAACGAATCAAGTGCTGTGTTTGAGGAAATCATCTCACAGCATTGCAGAAACAATGGCAAATATTAACCACATAATCATTATGACAAGAAATAGCAAAATATCAATAAAATAATTTAAATTGTCTGAATTAGATAAAAGGTTGTGTTAGATTTATACAAAGCAATAACTGACAGAGGTAGAAGAAGTACTCAGATTATTGATTTAAGTAAAAGTAACAATACTACAGTGTAAAAATACTCTGTTACAAGTAAAAGTCTTGCATTCAAAATTGTACTTAAGTAAAAGTATTATCATAAAGAAAATACGTTAAGTACCAAAAATCACCTAAATCTGCAGAGTCACTAATAACTACATATGTAAAATAAATGTAGTAGAGTAAAAATTACAACATTTGCCTACTAAATGTAGTGGAGTAAAAGTATAAAGTATAGCGTAATGTGAAAATACTTAAGTAAAGTACCTCAATGTATTACCAGGCCACTGCTAACAGCATGTATAATGTCATCTTTAAAGTAATACATTTAAAAGCCTGTTCATTAGTGAGAGAATGTGTACAAATATATACTATTTCATGGATTAGCATTGATATTCTTTGCACATCACAAGCAAAACACATCCTGAGTGCCAGATATGTGACCTTCTGGGCTCTGTTTTCAGTCTCAGAAATAACTGAGATGGATACAATCTATCGCAACAGCAGATATTAAACCAGCACAGCCAACACATAGTGTACGGTGTTGAGGGGGAGTAAGATCATCAACATACCTTTCATAAAGCACCATCCTCGTATTCCTTTTCCTACGCCTGAGCTTGAAAGTTATTACAAAGCCAAGTCCTCCTTCTAGAAACAATCGTACACGACAAGAACTCCATCTAACAAGGAAACATTACCACAAAAGAAGCCCAAATGGACGACTGAAGATATCCGAAATTAGAAACTACCAGCTAGGATACAGCTTGTCCTGTCTCTATCTTTAACTACAAATGAGAAGGCTCCACATTCTTGTACGGCTTTACTGGCTCTCTAGTTGCAGACCCCAAACCTTATTCCTGGCTTGTGCCCAGCTCACATCACTCTCTCTCTCTGTGGCACTGTCACATTGGCAGCTTTAGGAAATAACTGCCCATAAAAGAACAAATCATCGCATACCATAAACATTGAGACTGGTATGGCCGAGCACTGCCAAAACAACCTTTTAAATGCTTCACAAACTTCTGTGGGATGAATATTCAACTGCAGAAATGCCTTATTAGTCAGTTATTTATATAAGGAGTCTATTTCTGTAGCAGTGCAATAAAACATAGTGGACAGTGCTGTTAATTTAGATCTTCCTTGATACACTGGGAACAGATTCCCATGCAACATTTCCAAAACTAGCACTTACTTGAGTTATAGAGCAATCTGTGTTTGGCCGGCTCGGTACATCGCAGCTGTTAGCACTGATTGGCCAGAGTTATTTTTACATCATGATACTAAAAACTACACTGGCATCCGAATCCCATCCCCTGACAAGAATAAAAGACCTGTGCCATTGACTTAAGGTTAATCAGTTAGAGCTCAGCACAGACATGTTGTGCTTGTTGTAGTAAATGCTGTGAAGGTATAGGTAAAACTGCTTTCTCCTCCTATCTGGTACCAGCATGGGATATCTGCAGGAGGGCCCTCTGCTCTCTGTCCCCTGCTGATGATCACCATGGTTTCAGCTTCAAAAAGGCCAAAACTTTAGGACCCTGACGTTGAATGAGAGTACAGATTTACGGTTTGCTGGTTCTGCTGTGATTTTGTTTACAATAGAGTTTTCTCTGCGCAAACTAAAACTATGTTACTTCTTTAAAGTTTCAAAAATATTGCAATCAAAGGTTTAATGGAAGGTTTTCTTGTGCAAATCGTGTTATGGGATGGAGTTACATTTGCATTTCAATCACAAGCTTGAAAAGAGATGTAAGCCTGGGAATAGAAAAGTGTCCAGTTGCCCTCTTGACATTAAGAAAACCTTTTAAATTTCACCAAAGCATTACAGTCCACAGGTAAAAGGACAGCGATAAAGGCAACAGGCACATTATAGTAGGCTACCTACTCAGCTCAGACATCACCTTTCACTCCAGAGACACCTGTGTGTTCGCGACACAAAGGTCCCATTGTTTCACAAATATCTGCCAGCATACACGACCCCTTTTCTGATGTTTCTAACCTCGCACATCCCCATTTGTTATCGCTGAAACTTGATCGGGGTAACTAATTTCCCCCAGTGGGACAAAGTAGGTTAAGGTCGCAGTACTCCATAGCAGCTGCAACAGCGCACTTGCACACGACTTACCACCATTTATTTCGAGGCATGTCATGCAACATCACTGTTTTCCATCCAGGGATCCGACAGCCGGTCGTGTAGGTCCTGCAGAGCGATCAGGGTTTCTTTGGTGTAGGGTGCTGCATCACTGCACGAAGCGGCAGATCTGGTGCCGCTCTCCTGCAAAAGCTTGTGTTGTGGACATTTTCGGGTAGCGTACTGGTTGAGGAGAACAGAGGCAGCACTTGCCTCCAGTGTGTGGCCTGGCGATGACGTAATGCGGAATCTCTACATTTGCGTCAGTGTGCACCTGCAAATTGTTTAAGTTTTATTAACATTTTTTAAAATAAGGCATTCGTTAGTAAACAGATAGATAGTTAACGTACGACTGACATTGAGGTCATACAAAGATGCGTCCATTCGCTGGTTTAATAGTGGTTTGTAGCTTTGGGAAAATGACGTCATCAACATAAACTAAATCAATCTTTGTAAATGGAAACAACATTCATCAGACGAATTGCATTTACTACTAATCATATTTTGAGATGTTACTTGAAGACACATTACTTTCTCGTAATTCTCTCGATTGTAAAACACTGAACACAAATGTATAAATAAAAGAATCATTAGACTGCAGAGGTTTTGCATCCACAAATCATAATAAAAAATAAATAAAAGGACATTGTATCCTTAAAGGGTTCGTTTTGATATCAAAATTGGTTAAAAGGTAGTTATTCCATAACTCTTAAACTTGTTGTTAAAATACAACAAAGTCTCCTGACAAGAAGTAAGGTAGACAACGAGCAACAAACTACTTTTCATGGCTCCGAGGCTGACATCTTACATTGCTCTCTATCTGCAACCGGAGGAAAGACAAGTTTGCAGGGACTGTCCACTAAGTGCAACACAGAAAACACCACAAAAATCTTCAATAACCTTCTTGTCTTAAAGTAAAGCCGGTCTACCAAAATCACTCCACTCATTAATGGCCTCCTACTGGTTATACTGATATACGCTATACCCACTGGATAAATACAGCACTTAAATAAATATGCTTTTGCATACATTTTTCTCGTCTAAATATGTAATTACTTACTATTATACAGTGTAGTAGTACTACAATATCACTTCCCACATTAGTGGTCTCTTGTTGTTATATCAAAACATTTATTGTGAATAAATATGCTTTTGAATAATCTTGTCATTTATCTTTTCGCATGAAAAATTACATATTTGACTATTATACCGTGTATCGCTATATTACACCAACAAGTTAGGAAACACATTATTTTGCATTATTATGGTGGAAAATATTAATTAATGAACTCTTAAACAATCTATACAGATTTAGACAAAGGGGAAGACACACATAAATGGTCCCCAAATCAGAATACATTTTAAGGCAATTTGTATGTTCTTTTACTCCTCCTCTTTGATTTTACTCTTCTCTATTTCTCAACAAAATGTATTTAACTTCACATTAAACGAGTAGGAAAACACACTTTAGTGCTGCTTAACAAAAGTACTTACCTTCATTGCTGCTCTTGAACGCAACTCCAAGCTCAGCCCCTTGTTGCTAAGCAACCACAGCAGAAGATTGACAGCAACTTCAGTTGACTCATTAGTAGAAAACTTTATTGGAAGGCCCCTTTTTACAGAGGTAGGTAGGCTGCAGCGTTACCACCATGGGGTTACCACCACACAGACAACAAAACAACAACAAACTTTCAGCAAAGCTAACAGGAAGCTGGCACTTAGAGGTGTATTAATGGGAGTAAGTTGATAGCCTGCCATTTTTCGCTTTCACTTTCTGCCATGACAACTACCCCCCCTGACCATTAATAAATAATTAGCTAAGTTAATTAAACCTTCGACTTACCGTTAGCTAACAGTGCGAGATGAGAGGGAGTAGGTATCAGTTGCAACTGGAACTAACGTTAGCTAACTTTGTCCGAGGGATTACAATACTTGTTCACTTCTAATCTGTAAATAAATAAAAAACTTAATTTGCGTTTTCTTTTCCCTCCAAATTTCTCAGGTTGTGTTGAACTTTTTCTCGGTTCCTAAGGAGGATTACAGGTGTTTTCCTATCGGACAGTTTTCAGGATGCCAGACGTTGAGCCGCTCAGATTCCCTTCAAGGGAAGAACGACCAACACAACAAGGTGAGAAGAGTTAACCGTGCTAACGTTAAACAAGTCCACTTCAATTGCTTTTTAATTAAATGTGGAATAAATCAGCTTTAGCCCATGTGTCCTTAAAGGAACTAAAAGGGAAATTGCTAAAATGCATTTGTTATGATTGGTCTTAATCAACATTACAACTTTGAAAAGTGTTTTTTGTGTTGTTTCTCCCCTGTTGCATCTGATATTCAGCTATATCTTATATCTCTCTCTCAATTAGAAAATAACTACAAACAAATAACCAATGTGTGCCCAAAGAAAGTATGAGGGGAAATGAGGGTTAGGATTGGTCTTAATCAACAACAGTGAGGAAAAATGCCAACAGTTTGTCTTTTACACTGCATCTCTGTGCATACTGTTAGTTTGTTTGAGAATACTGGCAAATACTTGATATTGTTTGTGAGATACAGCTTTATCTTATATCTTTTTCTCAATATGAATTATATAAACTAGTGTGGTTAGAGGTCACAGTCTACATAATTTATTTTGACAGTCAATTCAATTTTCAGAGGGTCCTGTCTTGTTTAAAACATTATAGGAGATTGATTAGGGCTGTTTCAATTGTTGTTAAGGGACATAGACATAAACAAGACAACTGCCTTGACCGCAAATGTCAGGACTAAACCCTAAGTTGAGGATTTCAACTTATTAACACAAGAACAAATATATTGACGGTTGTAAAACCTGTGCTGATAACGTAATATATTTTAAAGTTCTCATGTGTCATATTAATGTGATTTGGAATGAGAAACAAAGGAGGCGGGGACATGCATTAACTCCCATTTAATGTAGTATTTATGATTTACTTTCTGCAACTACAGAGTTCATTCTGAGACCACATCTGTCCACAAGAACAGAAAGAACCCACACACTCACACAAAGTCTATACTGTAGACTGTATTAACTGGACTGGAAATATATTAAAATGGTTAATACAATTGTAATAATAATTGAATTTAAATATCTAATGTCATTAGTGAAATGAGAGGTGTAACTAGGTGATTGGCCCTCAGACCCACATGTGACCGCTCTGTGGTTATAATACACCCTGCCAGTATGACATAGAGGCTATTCAGCCCACTGGTGACATATTGCCTCAGCACCTTTCTACCCCACTTGTTTTTTTCATTGTGTATTAGTCATCTAAACTGCTCTGCAACAGATGGCCCTCATTTAGGGTCTCCCCTCAGTTTTCCCTCCATTGTTCTTGTATGGGTCTGAGTCAGCTCTCTCTCTAAGCATTGTTCTAATTAATGGATCATCATGGAGGGATAACTGCTATCTCAGGGGGAAAAGGTTCAACAGTCTCACATGCAGTTTGTGACCAATTTATTTTTCTCTGTCATCCCCAGACACCAGATTATGACACTTTTTATGATACAGATGTTTAATGACCTTGTGGTGTATGTCACACTTCCCCTTGTGACAATTTAAGATGTACATACACATCTAAACAATGACAGCATACATTTGGACCTCATAAAATACTTGAAATTATATTAATTTAATTCATAAAGATGCATTGCTTACTATGAAAATCTATTTTCCTTTCTCTCCTGCGGTAAAAAAAATCACCTCCATCTTACCTGCTATCTTACACTGCAGCATACAACATATGACAAAGAAGTGATAAATCATAGTATAATGTACATTGTTGTTAACTATTGGGAGTTATACTGTATGATAATTTCACTAAAATGTAAACAAACAACTAACAATGATCTAATACTTGTGGTTGTTTCCTATTTTCGTTTTTTTTCCCTTTTTATCTACTTAACAATGTATAACGCAAATTCAATTGTACATACGTTTTTGAGAAATCAAAGTAAGAGATCCCCTCAGTTTTACATACTGTATGCATAACTTAATTGTGGCTAGCTTTATACTAAGTCATTGCTTTTGAATTAATCATTCAGGGACTGAATTAAAAGTCGTTTTTGTGGTAGCATTCGCATACCCAATATTAAACTAATATAAAGTTTAGAGAGCTGATTCAACCACTGAAATGAACTTGGTGTTCAGTAATCCTCACTATTTTGATTTTAGATAATGAGCATAACATGTACATATATTATAATATGGACAACAGACTAAGATGTGAATAGAGTCATTTGTACCTCTTTTATCAGCCAGATGGCGTCCTTTCCCCACTAAGAATCGTACCCTTGGGTTTGTCTCGAGATGTTCAAATGAGTTATCTCTGCTCTCTCCCTGATGCTTCCAGTATGTTGCAGAGTTTATGCAACCAGAATCAAAGAGAAAGTAAAGAATCACAGAACATCTTTCACAGCCAAATACATTTGTCTAATTACTTTTCCAAATAAAGTTACTGAACTAGGGCAAATATTTGTTTCAACAAATGTCTGTTGTGTTCTGATTTCCTTTCATCGAGTAATGGTTCATCAGTGTGTTGTTTATAATATATTTCCGGGGCTTTGTGCCATTATGTAAAGGATATCAGAGGATGTGTGGTTGGCTTTTCATTGATTCTCTGAAAGCAATTATTATTAACTAAACTTAAATGTACAGATCTTTCTGTTTCACAAGATCAAGCAGACCTCCAAGGCGTCTGCTCTGGTCGACGTCGCACATGTGCCTTGCTCAACAGTCCCTCGCCATGTGTCAACAGTGCTATTTACCATGTCCAAGAGCTGAAGATCACAGTGGAGAATTGGCTTCAACAGGTAAACCGATGTCAGCTGTGATCAGATATAAGAGATTGGAAGACAAATATCATCAGCATGGACTTCAAATCGAATTTAAAGTATTTCCCCCCCGTCTGTCTTTCCAGTCTGGAAAATATCTGATTGATCAAGACAAACACAATTACAACAAAGCTTTAAGGTTAGGTCCTCTTCTGTTTTCATTTTTTTATATTTTTGTTCAGGGACTAGAAGCATGACATTAGTTTTTTCCCTTTTTTAACAGATTTCAGTCCAGAGACTCTGATACTGATTCAGTGACGTCTACAGAGTTGTTCGTCGAAGGCATCGCAATCAGTGCAAGAGGTGAATCCCTTTTTCCTTTTTAAAGTGCAATAAGTCATTTCTGATATATTTTCTTAGTTTTGCAGTTGTGGCTTATGAGTTCACAATTATTTTAACCAGTTTGAGATATTAGTTCACATATTTTGTCTAAAAATGTATAAATTAGACACCATCAAGTATGTACTTTTTGAACTGGCGTATTCAATATCTTAATTCTTCTAAACTGATTGTTGTTTTTAAGTCTTTGTTTTTTCAGTCTTGAATTACTGTTTGATCTTCTTTGTTTTTAATTATGCTCTGTAAGGTGTCCTTGAGAGCTTTGAAAGGCGCCCATAAATAAAATGCATTATTATTATTACTTCCATTAGCTAGTAGAATACCATAGATTACCCTGTTAGGTCAGATTGTTTTAACGTAGCGTTACAAAAATGTCTTCAATTATTTTTGCTTTTGTTTATTGAGTTGAAACTAATTATGCAAATCAAAACAATGTGCCAATCTTGTGAAGTTCATCGTCCTCTAGAAAGTTGCCCTTTATCGCCATTATTGAAGAAAATAAATGATGTCCTTGGAGAGGTTGTGTATCTGATCGAGCGGCTGGAGGCTGATCGGCAGGACGCAGAAGAAGCTCTCCTCAAAGAGAAGAGAAGAAAAATATATCTGGAGAACAAAGTTGACAGCATCTCACTATGCAAACAACAACAGCTCGCTTTTCTAGTGCAAAAAGGTAAGTGCCAGAGAGGTGAGGTATCATCTCCTTACAAAACGGGTTCTGATGATGTTCCTCAAATCATTTAATTGACTTTGAAATTCTTGACAATTTTTTCCAGAGCATGAGGCTTGCATTAAAGACATCACTGAACTGAAACAGCGACTCAAACTGGAAAGAGAAAAACTTAACCAAGCCCAGGAGAAACTTTCACACACTGAGATTTGTAACCAGAGCTTACATGAGGACATACACTTTGCTAAAAAACAAACACCCATTGTGAAGGAAAACCTGGAACTCCAGAGAGGCATCATCAAACAAATCAACAGCACACAAGCTGAGGTAACCTACTGTATAGTTCCATTTCTTACTTTAAACAAGACAAATTGTTTTGTTTTCAAACCCAAAAAAGTCTAGGTACTTGGGTTTACCAGTGTGATTAATGTCTGTATTTGGTAGTAGTTCTATAAAGATAAGTACTAAAATCAAATTCAGCTATATTTTTTAGATAGAAAAGTAACCACGATAAAAAAAGGGTTTGCTTTTTCCTAGCTCTATCTCACTCACCCACTCGCCCTTTTTTAGCTCTATTTTTAATCCACAAGTGGCATGGCACTTGGGATTGCAATGTTTGTTGGTCTATTGGTCCAGTGTCCGTCCGGCACATTCGTTCAGTGAAATCATTCCATTTTAACAATTGACTGGAATGCCATGAAATGTAGTGCAGCCATTCATGCTCCCCTGAGGACGAATCCTAATAACTTTGATAATTCCCTGACTTTCATTTAGCTTTTCTCCTCCATAATTTATTTCCTTCAAGTCAGGATGCATCAAAATTAAATGACCATATTTCGCCTCAGCTGTACTTTGTGTTTCATGCTGAATGCCATATATGTTTAATAAAGCAAATATGGCATGAAAGTATACAGAGTAGAGATAAGAGTGATGCTTAGGATACAAAGGGGTCCATTTGGAATTGAAACCAGTTTTCAAATGAAACAACAGACAGACTCCAAAAGAACAAATTACCCGTTTGTTTTTGAATGACATCACAACAAATAAACCTATACAAAAAGGTTTTATTGATTTTGCACAATTTATTAAGGGGAGTAGTTAAAAAATGCTTTACGTTATAATAAAGAAAAATAATATAAAAAACCAGACAAGTTAAAAAAAATTACTGCACACTAAAACCAAGCAATCAAATGTGTGCTGTTTCCCTGTGGCTACAAGGGCTTTTATTGCATATGTTTACTTCAACTTATGTTTATATAGTTATTTATTTATTGTATTCTTATATGCTGCAGCTGTCACTTATTTCCCCCTGGGGTTAATATTGTGTTTTGATTGATTGATTGATTGATTGATTGAAATGGTTGACAAAAAAGAGTGAGCAAATAGCCAAACGCTCTTAGTGCATACTCTTGGCCTTTAACATGCCTTAATGTGGTTATTGGTTCACGGTATTTAGTTCTGATAAGGAGTATGATGTGATAATCGGATTATGTGTTATCTTTAATATTGGTACCTTTTATGAAATTGTTCTGACATAATGACATCTGAGGAAACTCAATTCCTTCCTTCTTTTCAAGGCTGATGAAGTTTACTCCGAAAGACAAAATGATCTCACACTTGTGCAGAGGGAATTAAAAAAGATGGAGCAGGACGCCAACAAAGAAAAGATATCACTGGATAATATACTGTTGGCGACGAAGAATCAGCTCGCTAACAGATTGTGAGTATCAATCCTGACTGCAGGGAAAACAAACTAGTTTACAATCAACGTAGGACATCTGAGACGGGACACATCTTTCATAAAGAAGTTTAAAATCGTCAACAAGCGCAATGTGAGGGTATACAAAGCATATACACTCAGTATCGTTGGTGACTTTTACTTTAAAATAGTGGAATAGTAGGGGCTTCTGTTATTTTTGATTTTTTTTATCAGGTTTATTCCTGTGTATTTCTTCATTTATTTGAGGTTGTATCAAAGTACAAAGGCAGTTACAGGAAAAAAAAGTCAACTGTTTAAATCTCTTTTGCTTAAATTACCACACAGACATTACATATTTTAAATGTAATTCCTATTGAAAGCTTTCCTGATCATCCTCCTGTAAAGATTGGTTTCAGTCTGGCAGGCAGGACACTTCAAATCAAGATATGGTCAACAGTTTAACCACTGCTTTAAATCAGTCTGCAAGGTATATTAAACTGCACGTTACCATAGCAACAACAATACTTCTGCTTGATGCTGCATTAGCGGATAACAAGTCTCATTGTAACGGACCTAACCAGTCATTTAACATTGAAAGATTATTCAAATATAGGTGTCCTGATATACAAAAAGATTGCACTTATATGTTATTAAAGTCTTATTTTATATCAAGTGTAAAAAAAACATATAGATTGTATTTCTGCTCTGTTCAAAAACACCTTTTAAATGAATGAATTAACTATTCAGTTTAACAGTGATCGTTCTGTTGTAGATGACTCTTGCAATATATCGTGAAATCGCTTTGAGCACCAGGAAAAGCGCGATATAAATAACATGTATTATTATCATTATTATTATTGTGAGCCCCCTAACTATTCAATATCTTGTGACAGCTTTGTATTATGAATGCATTTGTGATTCCCAAACCTTAACCTTAACCGTCCGGCAGTGGCTCAGTCAGTAGGGGCTTGGACTGGGAGCTGTAGGGTCGCCGGTTCAAGTCCCCCACCAGACCTAAAATATGGAGTGTGGACTGCTATTTGGAGAGGTCCCAGTTCACCTCCTGCCCTTCCGTGGTGCCCTTGAGCAAGGCACTGGACACCCCCCTTCCCCCCTCACTCCCATTGCTCCCCGGGCGCTGTACAATAGCAGCTTACTTCTCCTAGTACTAGACTCCTGGTACTAGGATGGGTTAAAAGCAGAGAACAAATGTCACTGTGTGTGCTGTGTGCTCTGCATGTGTGACCATTAAAGAGGGTTTCATCCCTCCCCCAATTCTATTCTATTAAAATGAAAGATAAAGAATTCATTTTTTCTCTCCAGGGAAGATTTAAAGCAGTTAAAGAAAGTTGACGAAGGTCTGTGTGCTGAAATACAGGACGCTGAAAAGTCCATTGCAGTTACAGAACAACAGTGTGCAGCCTTAACAAAACGAACCCCTGAAATAATGGAGCTCGAGCAAACTGAAACAGACACGGTAACTGATATTGTTTACACTTTTAATATTTAAAAATCTAAAGGATGTATCGACAGCTTACAAAAGTGGTTTGTGTCACCTTTTTTAAAACAGATTTTGCAGTTGAAATTTAAGATTGGGGATGAAACGCGAAAGAATAACAAATTAAAAAAGAAGATAATCGCACTGCAAGAAGACATGGAGAGAACTGTAAGTATTGTTACAGCAGTGTTTAAATCATGTCAGGAAAACTGTCCATTTCCATTTAATGTTGCTGCTTAGTCCCCTTATGTGTGTCTTGATAGTTCATTCCGGTAGAGCATGAAACATAACCGCCAGACTATGATTGGACTCTCACCGGAGCTATGCATGCTAATAATGTTTGAATTCATGGCACTGTAAGGCGTTTTGGATAAGTGCATCCACTCAGCGGCCCGCTGTATGTTACGTTATCCACAGAGACTTCATGGGGAAGCAGAGGTTTCCTGCACAGAAGAGCAGCTCCATTCAAAACGTAATGCTTTTGCAGCTCTTCGTAAAGAAAACATGGAGTATGAACAGAATGTATTGGACTACAAGATAAACATTACAGACAGGTAGAGCTTCAAATCCCCAAAAGTGCAGAATAAATACAACATCCTGCTTTAGTTTTTACCGTAACTTATCAGTGTTATTTTTGTTAGTGTGAAGGCAGTGAAGCAGATGCATGAGGAGAGAAAGCAGATGCTCCAGAAAATCATTGACAATGACGAGCAGTGGGAAAAGGCCAAGGAGGAAGTGACCCAAGTTGTAGCCGACCACAGTGTCACCCAGACTAAGCTGGAGGAGCAGGAGAAGATCACCTTCACGGAAGAACAGAGGGCCAGGGTCAGTGGAGACATATGTACATGTTCTATGTATACTGCATGGGTCATGGTTTGTAAAGGGGAGTGTGAGATACTGAACGTTTCCTTCAGTGTTATTCAGGGCTCTCTCTGTGCTCTACAGAAAGAGATTGAAAACCTAAAGAAAAATCTGACAGGTCAGATGACTGCACTGGAGCTACTGAAGGTACATTCATGAGGATAAACATGTATCGACAAATGTACATTGAAATCTTCAATATACACCTCTGTATTTTTGCTAACTTTTTCAGTTTCTGTATAGGAGAATATAGCTATGATAAAAGATATGAAGAAGTGAAGCTTCACAAAGCACAGTCTCAATAAAAACTGCACATTATACGTTTCATAAAGATAGTTTTAAATGCCCGGCTGTATTCAATGGCATCATTTTATACTTTCCTTTTCCTGTTACATTCCCTGCTACTGTTTTTATCCCCTGTAAATGTTTTAAGACTTTAAGATAATGAGTGTCTGCCTTTTTTGCATCAGGGTCAGTGTGCGACTAAAAGTGACGAATTGTGTCGACAGCAAAGGAATTCAGAGGTTACTAACAAAAAGCTTCAGAAAGAATTTGAAGAAGCATCCACAACAACAAAGGAAATGGAGACAAAAATGGAGGTAATGATAAAGATGGAAAGATAATTGTACTTTATAAAGAAATGTATGTTAAAGGGTATACCTAATTTGTGAAACATCTTTTGTTTGTATAGAAAATCAAGAAATTGACAGACCATTTAGAAAAGACTCAATGTGAACACTCGAACACTTTAGTCAACCTTGAGAAGGAGAAGAAACTCAAATGTGACAACCTGAAAGCGGCTCAGGTAAGAAAAGGAAATGTAAAAAGGAATTCCTCTTGAGTCAAACAGTTGCTGTCAGGTTTACATTTTAAAGCTCAATGAGCCTAAAGCTTGTCATTGATATGGATCATCTCAATCTGCAACTAAATAATATCTCACTCTGAGCTACCTATAAAAAGGTGTCTTTCAGAATGAATGAAAGTGTGTATTTTCAGGATTTACACACTGCCACTGTGAAGAGATATGACGACACCCTGGGCAGAATCACTGACCTTACAAAAAAGAGGGATACATACCGGGATGCTTCGGAGAAAATGGAAAAAACAGTCGAAGACATGCCAGAAGTCATAGAAGAACTTCAGTAAGTTAGTTATCGTTGGAGTATTTCTTTAATATCAGACTATATCAGCTTTTTTCTTCATATGTTTTATCATTTATATGTGACTACATCGAAGTATTTCTTAAATCATCGTCTTGCTTTGAGTATACATTTCTACCAGCTTCCCCACTGATGCTGTTATCGTACATTTATTACATTCAAACTCATTCTAGAAAAATAATATCCTCTTACGGCTTTGATTCCTCCTTCCAGAAGTGTTTTTGACGTGGTGGAATTCAAAAACAAATCAGCTGCGCTCGTAATGAGCACATTGCAGTCTGATATTAATAACTGCCAACAACGAACACAGCGATCCATGCAGACACACACTGCTCATGTTACAGCAAGAGAAAAGGAAATGGAAGACACCAAGGTAACAAAATGCTTTCTGTGAATACACAACTTTTTGTGTGTCACATACTGTGAAATCAGAGACAAGCGGTTCAAAAAAAAGTACCTCATTGTTTATTTGTTTGTGGATTAGTGTCAGCACATTGCTTGTCACAATACTTCCCTTAAGATGCAGGGAAAAGAGCTGTGTGCAATTAAAATTACAAGCCATGGTCAATCTTGTTTAAGTGCTTTTCCCACAAATGACAACTCACTGTTGTTATAGGCTTTTGTCTGGACGAATTTGATGATGCGTGTCGTTGTGAGATGCTGCTCCTGTTTTGTTACCTGTAGGCCAACAATAGCAATTTCAATCTAAGCATATAGTGAACAATAAGAAATAAGCATATCATCTGCACCCTTTCATATTAATGGCAGCAATAGGCATTATGTAAAAACACAAGCACCCTCTGCACAAAATGGCACGTATTTGAACACTCCTTTGTGAGAGAAACCCCTATTTATTGTAAGGTTTTCATCTGCAGGATTATCAGCCCCAGCCAGAGCCTCTTTGCTGATGGGGGTTTCACATGGCTTATCTAATGTGAAATCGCCATGTGGTATATAGTTTCATTAAACGGTGATCAAGAATGCATTAGTTCAAAACAAGAAAAGGCAATGGAGCTTAAGCCGCCATGCATCCAAGTGCAACAACTTTAAAGAAGTTGTTGGCGTGAGACAATTTAAGAATTAGAAGTCTTCCTCATAGACACAACTCCCATTAGCCAGATAAAAGTTAGTCATGCAAAAAAGGGGTTTAGTCTTTTCACTTGACGAAATAAGATGATACAACAACAATGCTCCTGAACCAAATACAAATATCAGAGAGAGTGTGGGGTTCGAGGGAAATTGGTCACTTTAATCACTGAGACCAATGTAAGGCACACATAATGTCCGCATTAGCATAACATAATAAGCAGAGTGTGCATTCAGGAGCCGCAGTGCATGAAGCAGAATGGTTAGACTATTTCGGGTATTTCCTACAGAAGAGATTTCTGCTGATCCAATACTATACTCTTATAATCTCCTGTAGGTCACAGCTCCTCTTTTATATACAAACTAATGCAGGTCAGTAAAGCTAATAGCCTGATAGGAATTACTCTTTGGCTCTATTAAATACAAACTGCAGAAGATTCTTTACAAGGGTAGAATAACAAGGTGAAAAAAGGTTGAGGAATCCGTCTTTCATACATGCCCCTATTTTTTTTGATTTGATCAGGCCTTGTCGTATGGCGAGCACAAAGTAAACAACGCAAACTGCCGACGCTATCAGTTTCTTATGGGCAATGAAGTGTAATTTGTTCCATTTACACTTCACAACAGCATCAGATGGGCTTTGTCAGTGCTGCATGGAGTAATTAAACCTGAAATCAATAGCAGGCATTTGTCATGTTTACAGCCCCTCTTTCTGCTGGGTTAAACTCATCACTTTAGTGCTGTTCTGTTTTACTGCAGAGACACACTTCATTATGTCTGCAGGTAGAGTTGAGATATTCACCAGCAACATTTCCACTACTTGGGGAACATTGTTCAAATGAGAAGATGACATGTGGAGAGGCACACACTCACTTTGATTTATATGCTTGATTTCACAGAAAAATGTCCACTGTTGTATCCGCACTATTTAAATTGCCATGCTATATTAATTAACAGAACAAACACGGAAAGCATATTTGTATTGTACGCACACATAACAGGTCAGTGGTACAATTGAAGTATCTTTCTACATGGTTATGTACTGTTACTGTACAGTATGTGCTGTATATTGACTCTCCAGTTCCCTTTATAATACAGCAGCATATGTTCTTGGGTATCTGTATGTCAAGGAAACATTGATCTATGTAATCTTTCTTCATGTTTTTTATATCTGCACTGTACAATATGCTGCCTCGGCAGTTGTTCTGCCAGCATACTGTAGCTGTGGTCTACTTCGAACAAATCGGTAAATTGATCATCAAACTAGAAACAAATCCATTTTAAATGCAGATTTCTGTAATTGTAAAAATGTACATTACGTGAAACAGGTCACTGGTTCCAATTGTGTTTTAATTTCAGTAAATTAGTGACAATTAGGGATACCAAAAGTCCTGCCCAGAATAATCAACTCTGCATTGATTTATTGATAACAACGTCCCTTCAGTAGACATATCAACAATAATGAAGTCACACAGCACTTAAAGGTAGGCTAGGTAAGAATGGAGAAACCAGCTCGAGTGCGCTAGAATTTGAAAGTACACAACCGGAAAAAATCTGCCTCTTCCTTCAGACTTCCTTACAGAGCCCCTCCTCCAACACACACGAACGCGCACATGACCAATGAGGGCACGAGATAAGTTTGTGCACAGATGGAAGGCTGACAGGCAGGTAGGCCATCCAGTTATTTTAGCTGGGCCGGCTAAAATGATTGGTCGTGCTTTTTACAGCGCCACGGCTTCCACAGATGACATTTTTTTATGTATTTATTGTCAAAGCATTTCATATATTCATTGCTATCGGGATGTTAAGAGCATTCCATGGGATATAACAAAAAGTGTTTCTGAAGTGAATTACCTACCCCACCTTTAAATACAGCCTGTAATTGCATGACAGTACACACATTTTGGGATACACAAATAAGGTACAACACATAAGGCTAGCAGAGCTGCTACCATACTTATTAATCGGATCAAAGAACCTAGTACTTACTGATCCAAATTAAATATGGTTTCTGTGTTTTTGTCTTAAAATTCAAAGTCTCACATGAGTTATATTAGTTTGATCACACAACTCAAGTCTTTAGCAGCACAGCGACGCCTGGTCTCATGTAAGCATTGGTAAAAAGCTTTGAGAGGAATTCGCACAGCAAGATTTAAGAAGTTCAAATGTTTTTGGGGAAAAAACTGGCAGATCTGATCCGAATCAGGGGTGCGAGGATGTCACCACTGACATTGTTGGGTGTCACAATTACAATAGTTACAATATTGGCCTGCAACCCGTTCCTGCTTGTTTCTTGGTGGTTATTCTAAAGTTACTGTAAACATACTATTGACATGAACCATTTTATCTGAACTTTTGTTCCCTGTGTGTGTACTGTAGGACGCACTACAATTGTCCCTGAAGGAGAACAGACAGCTGGCCACTGAGTACGAAGATCTAAAGAAGATCCTCATGGAGGCCAAACAAGAGGCAGTGTCTGCATTGAACGAGAAAAACCATGCACATAGATCCTTTCATTATTACACACAGGTACTGTATATATAACCTTTTCTGATGTTTACTATCACCCCCCCCCTCTTTTTAATTATGTTTTATGACTTAGGATTTTTCCTCTGTTCTCTATACCAGGCTATTCTTCTTTGCACAAGATAACTTTTCTTGCATGGGCAGTCATTTTAAGAAGGTTTTAGTTTGGCAACCAGTGAGGAGGTAACGGCAGCAATCTAATAATGATGAGATAACTTGAGTGGAGGAGGATGATGGATGTGACATAATGTAATGATAGCTATGTAGTTTTGCATCCAAGGGGAGTACATAGAGAGGTTGATGGTACATGTTAATGCTATACCTTTTCACATTTTCTTGATTATACTTTTTCTAAGATAGTCACAAGTGAAACATTTTATCATCGGGCTTTACAAATGTGCTCACACACACACACCATTGGTTAGGGATTAGCAGCAAACAAAGGTTAGGATCAGACAATGAAAGTGCCTTTAGTGCTAAAGTAGCACACACAATCTTGACTAGTTGAGGGAGACACCTCAGCAGCATCTTAGTGTTTAATCTTTATAGTTTCTGACACTATTTAACTGGAATAGAATTACACATGACAGGCATAACGGCAGAAAGAAGCCGCACTGCTTCTGCAATGAAAAATTCATATTATTTGTTCCAAAAATGACTAATACCTTTACTTGAGCAATTCCTCATCTAACTGCATGAATGTTATCAAGTGAAAAATGCATGCAAAAATAAAATCCTGTGGACAGGATTTTCCACGCTCATGATCAAAGCCTGATTTTCTTTTACTCCGGATTCAGCCTTCACCATTTGTTTGTTTCAACTCTACACTTCTATAACAGCAGCCTCTCGGCTACTGTTTAATGCCTGAGTTTAGTTTTTATAACAAGCTTATAATCAACAATGTTTCTGAAATGTAGATCACATTTAATCTGATTTGTACAGGAATATTTAAGCACCATTCTTTCCTGTTTCTAATTTAAATAATAATCTTTGAATTTTATGTCCCAGTCAGTGCATATATTACTAAATGTGATTACCCTTAATTGATTTGTGTGGAACTGGAGGCAACAAGGTAAATGCATTTAACATTGTCAGGATCATTGGAGAGATCAGAACATTAGTGCATGTGTGTGACACAGCCCATAATCTGTTATTATATACATGTGAGGGACACAGTAAAAACATCTCTTACGAATCCTCGAAGTATAATCCTGACAGCATGCATTCCAGACATTAAGTTTAAGTGACAAGTTTAAACCAACCCAAACTAAGCTTTCAAGACGACTACAAAGCAACACATATAGCCTTAAAGATAAACTATTTTAACATATTTTTGTGCATTTTCTTATTTATTCTCTATCTATAGGAGCTTATTGTATGTATTTATTACCGTTGTTACCCAGTAGTCTACAGGTGCAGCACAACAACAATCATGGACATGATAATAGATTTATATAAGTATATAAGTTTGCTATACTCTTTCATAATAGATCGGATATTAGATATATAATTCTGTTGCTGCTATGACACCCGAATTTCCCTAGGGGGATAAATAAAGGTCCATCTTATCTTATCTTATCAGATAACACTTTACTTTAAAAAGTGTATAAAACGTTTTATATACTGTATTTCAGTGTTAGAGGTTTGTCTTATTTTACTAACACATTTATTAATTATCAATCAAAACACATAACACCTGGTTTATCTTATATTAGAGATAGTAGTTTTTCTTTGAATAAGACAGAATGGGGAAAAACATCAAGCTATTTCATATATAAATTAAACAAGTATGAACACATTAAAAAACAATTAAGTGGAAAGACAAATACAATATGTAAATTTAAAAAAGTGCATGATGACGAGCATCTGATAACATTTGCCAATATGTGCCTCTTGTAAAAATCCTCTTGATTCTACTGTACGTTGTAACATTTCTTTGTTTATGTGGAGGCTTTCAGCTCCTGGGTTTTAACAGGGTACACCATAAAGAGCATTCTTGTTATTGTCTTTCCTTCAGGAGCTGATGACTGAGCTAATTCGCTTTAGTTTTCAATGCACTGGGGAACACATTGCCAAGCAATGATAAGCTTTGTAGGAAGAGTAGAGAGATGGAGGGGGAAGAAAAGCAATGGCATCTATCAGAATTTAAACCTCTTTGCTTGAAACTGTGTTCAAATAATAAAGCAAGCAGCATGTCTTTCCAAGAGACTAGGAATAATTTCTGGTTTCAGTGGGGGGTTCATGACTCTGTGTGTATGTGTAAAATATGTCTTGAGGGGATTGGTATAAAGTTAAACTGGGTGAAGTAGAAATATTTTACTCATCAGCTTTGCAGTCACAGAGTTTGCCTCGGCTAGAACAAAACTGCTGAAGCATTTAGAGAAAATTAACCCCCCATCCTGGCAGCCAGATGTGACTGGATTCTGATGAGTGCACACGAGTGGGCAGAGAAACCAAGAGACTGTGAAATTCCTGTCAGGCCCGTGTACTGCAGAATGGGCTATTGACTGCTTTCTCTATTCCCCTCCATCATTCTTCTTGAACACTGCCATTAATTTCCTCTCCTGCCTTACCAATTCCTTTTCTCTGCCTTCTCTCCCCCTAGCTCTCTTTGTTGCAGAAGAGGATGCACAAAGCTTTGGTGAAAAACTTCAAACAACGCAGCCTGTACAGCCAGGCTGAACTGGACCGGTGCCAGGCTCTTTCTCAAGACACCGACCGGAAAATAAAAACAGCCCAGGTATTTGTACATATACATTTAAAACTGCTGGAATGCTGCACAAACTGTCACCATTCATTTAGATGGCAAATCCCTCTATTCAACTTTATCCCAGTCTCAAGGTATTCTCCCGGATATGAGCGTATTCTTTTGCATACTACAGTAACTCCGTGTTATGCATGGCATTGTTTGAGCCTCATCCGGCGAGTCACAGTCGCCCTGTGTCTTCTTTGCCAAGCAAGGGCAGCCAGGCAAACATCCACCAGGGCTTTGTGCCTCATTGCTATGGTGGAGTTAAAGACACCACTGTTACATTAGAGTCTATACATTCACTTATCAGATCACAGGCTGATTTGATGGATGGTGTGTCTGCTACAGTGCCTCTGCAGTGACCCCCGTGTCTGAGACTAGCCCCTCTAGACAACTCTATATACAAAACACTTTGTTTTTGGTCACATTGCATTAACATCTTAGCTTGTTTCCTGTTGTGTTTTTTTACTTCCAAGCTAATTCAGAGTGAGTTTTTTTACACCGCATGGAAGAGTTCTGTGTTCTTCTTTGCGAACAGAGTAACCTTCTGTCCGTCTTGCAGAAGAGTAGCGGCAAGGTTGAAAAGTAAGGATCTTCAATTAGAGGATAATCGGTGTCTAATCTGTGCTGTGATGTGAGATGAGGTCAAAGCGGACAGAGGGACAGTGATGAATCTTTATGAAATGTCCTGTCCAGCATTACCGCAGAGCCAGGTGTCATGTAACCATACCGTGAACCACTTCCACTCTTTTTACCTCAATAGCAGGGCATCCCAGACCTCTAACTTCACCATGTTGCAATCGGCTTTCCCTTATTTTACTTTTGTTGTTTAGATAAATGTGACTTTATCATCTATGCTGGAGGCAAAATATGCTGAATTTAATTAGATGTTTTCCAGGTGCCTTGTGAAGAAAACTATTAAGTGGTTTCCCTCTCTGTTCCTCCTACTCTGACGGCTGACATGTTTTTCTGACTGCTCTGGTCCCAGGCATTACAGGGAGCAGCCATGTCTCAGTGGCCCAGCCTCAAAAGGCCCCAGCAGATCACAGCTCAAGGCAGGGAGGAGTGGGGCACAGGGGGAGGAGCTATCAGAGCGCTGCAGAGTGTGAAGGACAAAAGAGCTGGGGTATTGAAGCGCACCACACCGTCACCCGTCACAGCTCAGCACAGGGACCATCAGAGCAGGCAACACTCACTTTAAACAGGCTCCTCCTGAACAGTCCAGCTCAGTGGCTATCCTTCAAAAAGTACAACCTTTTATGAGAAAAATTTAAAAAAGCCCTTATGAGCAAGCATAAGCACACAATCTGCATCATTACCTAGATATTTAGCCCTTAATGTGATCTTATGATCCACAGAGAAACGCACTGACAGTACGCAGAAAGTGATAATGCAGTAGGTCATTACTATACACAGATATTCACATTTACATGATATGTAGATTATCAATATTGCCTCTTTGTAAGAGAGAGATAAAGAAATCAATGTGATTGATGCCACTTTTGACTGGAGCTAAACCCGGCTGAATCCCGACGAGGCCCATACTAATCCATCATGTCCACTTAACCCCACAAGCAGAACGTAAGAGAGGTCAGGTTAGCGCTTTCACGGCCAAGGCGTGCTCAAATCACAAGCCAAATGGCAGTTTGTTCAAAAGTAGCTTGAGGGGAAGAAGGCCGGGAAACCCTAGGGTGGGCGAGTGGGAGTGGGCGGGGGTGGGGGTGGTGCTGGGAGGGGGGGGGGGGAGGGGGTGCGGCGGGCTGTCATCCTGTTACACTCCTGCCAGAACTGGCAGTTCAGCTTTGTGTTCTGTGAGTTTACACTAGGGATGGCATAATTGACAATGGCTAACAGCGTAGAGCAGTGCAGAGCCTTGTTGAATGGCCAGTAATGATTGGAGCAGACGCCCACTGCCCCAGTCTCAGGGGACTGTAATCCAAGATCCTGTTTCTGATATAATTGTTAGTCAGAGAATTTCTGCATGGCTAGGCCGGTTCAGATTCCCAAGCTGGTTGACAGTGCCAGGCAGTTTAATAGAAAAACTGGATGCTGAGGTTTTTAAAACAGAAGAGCACTGAACCTGGACACGGTTCACCAGGAGCCTCTTGTTCTCCTCACTTACAAAAATAAGAACAAGATGGTAACTTTACTTTCACAAATGTAGACTCACCATCAGCTCGGATGCAGATAGAGCGAGGAGTTTGTATTATTGCCTTTCCTCAAAAACAGCATTTTCTTAATTAGCTTGTTTTCATTCATCATGTTATTCAAACAGGAGGGGTTGTCAGCAGAAATTCAGCTCATCTCCGCGTTCCTGCAGTCCTTGACAGATGACTCTACTACCACTGATGATGCCGGGGTGAACAAACAAGCCGGTCCAGGATCGAATGAGTAGATGCCTTCAGCTCAAACAGCAGTGTAATTGGACATTCACCTGAACCAGACAACTTACTTACCCTAGCACGCTTCACTATTCCCCCCCTTTTTACTTGCAGCGAATCCATAACAATGAAACAGGTGACTTTCATGCTGCTGTCAGGACTGATCTAATTTTAGCTGGGTGAATGATTGCAATTGGCTTTGCCTCATCAGATAATTAATCTATGTCACCATTAATTGGAAAAGAGAATAATTACAGGCAGTGTTGACAGAAATTCTACGCTTCTCCAGATTCCAAGATCTAATTACAACTAGTGAAACCCTGTGACCTTAACTAGCACTTAGTACACCTTGGCCACCTTGACCATGTCCATGTGAGGACCACTGTCTCCTAAAAGACCCTTTTTTTGTCACCGCTCGCTGCCCCCCCCCCCCCTCCACTCTCCTCACTTTCGGAGAGCTGTCTCCCTCAATCACTTTTCAATATTCAATCTTAATTTTGTGGAAGTTTAGCATTTTCAATGAGCTGGAGATGAATGATTAATGAATAAATTTAAATGCTTCATTTTGTCCATGGATCATTAGTTAAGTCCTTTGTGGGAAGGACCTGAGAAAGGAGTGAAAATTATTGAGACATTAGCCTGAAGCAATCCAGGGGTAAATAGTGTGCAGAAAAGGAGGTTGTGTGTGCACTATCCACCGGCTTTCTAAAGAGCCCTGGGGAAACACTGTTTTCAATTTGGAATCTTAACTCAATCACATTTAGTACTCATAGAAAATAGATTCCTGTTTCATCAAGTGTCATACTAATGATACACAACACCAGGGCCTGTTCCACGTAGACTTTAAAAGTTAAAGTGGAAATGTTCCTGGATAAAAAACAATTTCCTGACTCATATTAAATATTTTAGAATAACAAGAAATAAAAAAAGAATAGAGGAGAATAGATAGTAGATACTAATGTTCATAGGGTTTTTGAAAGAGTGCACATGCTGTTGATCCTCTCAAGGTCGATGCTTTTAGACTGCTCCTAAAAATGGGTTTGCCCTCTCGTTCTGTCTGAGTGTGGTTGATAGAGATGCTGTTGTTGTGTTGATACGCTGGATGCCTCTCCTACTCGTGGGGACAGAAGGGGGCAGTGTGAACACAACAACCTTAGAAAGACATTATTGACTGCAACGCGGTCCAGACTAGTATCTTAACATTGCCATTGCATTTAATCTTAAATTGGAGGTTATTATTATTCAGTCAACTAAAACATTAGAAACACATTTTTCAAAGTGTTCATTATTTTATACATGTAGTCTCTTTTATGTGTATTAAGTTGTATTACATGTTTATTCTGTTTGAATTTAAACATACTATATCATATTACATCAGCCTGTTCAATGGCATTAATGCAGAATCTCATATTGACTGCTCGCATGGTGCCACTATATCTCCAAAAGCACCTTGAAGAGAAAAATGTTCAGTCTGTCTAATTCTTCTTACAGACTATATGCGATATCTCAAATGAAGGTCCCCCCAACCACATTTATCTCTTCTCTTTGCATCTAATCAATCCCCTGAATGAATGAAAGTGAGCCACAACTGGATGTCATCAAATGTATCTGCAGGCGTGGCTCAAAGTGCTGCTCCTCTAAAAAGGGTGGATTGGGGAAATAATGACAGGACTACTTGTATTGACAGCCTTTTATGTTATAAGCTTTTTGCCCAGTATGATGATATACAGCACTAGCCTCGCTGTGTTGTTGTGTTCTGTGATACATCTAAGCTGGTTTAGAAGAGTTGTCGTATAAAGGCAGATTCTGCAAGAGACATGTTGGGTAAATCTGATTTACAGGCAGCATGATTCTCAATTTCAGCCTGGCGCCACCATGCAGACGATGGGCCCGTTTCGTTTGGATTCACTCCAGCGATTACTTCTGATCGCTGACGTGAAGCCAAGTGAATCAGAGCAACATCCTGTCTCCTCAAGCTAACCAAAATGTGGTTTTGAGATCTTTTTGAAATCAGGAAAAAGATGGTGGTGTCCACTCAAGCCATCCTGTCTTTGTTCATGAGGAAGTGCAAAGTTGAGCCATGGACCCGATGAAGTCAAGAAAAGAATGTGAGAGAGAGAGGTGCTACTGTGTCTAAAATATCAATGAGGGAGATGCTGCCAAGTTTTGGAGCCCACAAGAGGAAATAGGTCTTCTGTTAACAAAGAGTAGACCAGGCAGCCAGGCGCTATATAGCTCTTAATATCTTTCATCTTATGAAGAGCATTTTGTTTTGACAAAATAATTGAAAACATCATCTTCTATTTATTCCCACCGGTATTTCTACAGTCCATTATTAGTACAGTATTAGGCAGTGTGTTCCTTTTAAAGTTTTAGTAACTACAGCATCTGTCATTCAGTCATACTGTACTGCCTAACAATACACTGGAACAGTGTGTTTGCCCAGGTGAGTCTTTAATGTGGAACTCCGACGAAAACATGCCAAGCAAACTCATCAGTATAACAATACATGTTCCTTGTGTTGCCACACTCATTTGATTTCAAAGATATTTATCTTAACAGGATAATAATTTGTGAAAGTCTCTGACATTTGTGGCTAGCTAGCATGATAATAAATCCATGGCTTGGAACATTTTTTAGTTAATTAGAGTCAATCAATCCAAACTTTGCTCACTTACCGGTGTGAAACCGGAGTATAATGAGCAGAAATCAGCATGGTGATTGGAAAACACAAATTACAGCTGTTAAAGAGAAACTCATCCACTTTTCTTCTGTTGATGCCAATGCCTGCTGCGAGGATTTAAAATTAGCATGGCATTCCTTTAATGGATGTTAGGAGAATGTGCTCCTCTATAATTAAAAAAAAAACCTGTTAATATCCTCGTAGGCTAAAATAAAAGGGGTTCTTATTATTACATGACGACTCTCTAATAGGACATGTTTAGTTTAGTTTATTTGTTTATAGTGTCGTGGACAGTAATAGGACATGTGGGTCAGTTGATTAAAACAATTGTCTGTATTTATTTAATATTGTCATAAGAGTATATTTTGTTTATTTTGCCATATATACATCTAACATACCCAACACTGCTTGCAAAGACAATATGCGGTTTCTATGATATATTGGTAATGTTATACTGTTAATATGTATTATGAGCAAATGAAGTAACGCTACATAATGGTGTGTGTCCACAGCAGCGAGGTGGTCAGCAGTAATGCTTCAGTAAAATCACAAAATAATGAACTTCCCTGATATATATATATAAGGGACAGTCTTTGCTTTTAAAGGCTCTGTATATCTCTACGGTCAGGGCTACATTCACATTATTCTTGACATATTCCATGCACCTTACATTCATGGTGTAATGATGTGAGTAATAACCTGGGGATGTTAACATCACCCTACAATAGGATCTTTATCTGATCTAGGCTCACAGACAGCAGTATGATATGACCCAGCTGCCGGTCGCCACGACGTATGTGACCTCAGCGCTGGATGTAATTTCCTCTCAAGGGCTCTTGGAAAGGGAGAGCTTATGTTGTAGAGCTCATGTCGTCGGGGCTGGTAACAGCAGCTTGCCATTGTATTAATTATTGTCAGGGAATCCAAGGGGTGTAGATAATACAGAATGCACTGGTTGGTCCCATTTGTTTCACTTGTCAGTGGAGTGAATAATTGGGAGTGCTGACCATATTAGACACAGAGAATTTCTAAACATACAACTCCAACAGTCACAACTAAAAGTATGGCTTGGAAATAAAAAAGCTTAATGTCTGAGCATTTTTAAATCAGTATGGAATAATTTGCTGGCTTGCTGTTGCCAAAGGAATTCACTGAAGTTTGTCTTTGACAACAACAATCCAGCCAGACATACAGTTTAGAATAATATGCTTAATTAAAGAAACATTTTTTACGATTGTACATGTTATTTATTAAAGAGAGATTTGACTTCAGCATTATATTTAAACTTTAGAGCTTGCAGCTTCTCAGGTAAGTGCCAGATATTAGTGCACCCCAACTTCTTTCTTTAAAGGCTTGAGAACATTGATACCGTTTCAGTAGAATGGGGGTTGCTAATACAATGGGGCTCATCTTGCAATTCTCCCAAGGAATAACTATCAGTCCTGCTACAGCGGCTTCAGCGTCCCTAGGTGACCGCGCCACTGAGCCCGTGCTCGCTCCAACGCACCCCACTCCACGCCTGCTGCCACCCTGAAGGTAGATGCATCACGCTGGGGATACTGTGCAACAGCAGCCCCCTCTACCACCAGCCCCTAAAACCTCCTCCACAGCACAGTGGCCTCCCGCTGCCCCCCCCCCCACATTTCCGGGTCGCCACTACAGCCCCGGTCCCAGCTAGCAGCCCAGACTCTCCCTCAGGTGAGTCTCCTCCACCCTGAACTGCACAACTGGTATCCTTTTGTCATTTGAGAAATGCCACACAAACACATACTGTACACACGCACACACACACACACACGCTCCTGTGCTCACTCTGAAGGGGACACCGCCTGTTCCTTTCTGCTCACCTCCCGGCTGCCGGCTGACTCTGTGAGCCGTGTCTGTGGTGGCTACGCCATGTGTGGGGATCTAGGGGTTTAAAACAGCAGGCCTCCCATGCTCCCTGAATGGCAAAAATAAGTGCTTCCAATTTATTACACTGCGGACGCTTTATGAATCATCTCCTACTAACTTTGATCTGAGATGACAAGTACACGCTAATCAGTCCCAGTATTAAAAAAAAAGTAAAACATTTCAATCAACTAAACATTGATCCGTTCACTTTTCCAAATTCATCACAATGAACTAAGGCTCATGTTGGAAATGCTACACTTTAACTGACCGGTTCACTTTCACCTCACCTCTATAGATTAAACTAATGCTTCAGGTGAAACCATTTGTTCCTTTTGTGTCGAAGCTGCTCTCAGTAGATGACAAACAGGTACAACCCTGACCCAGACAGTTTAAGTTTCATGTTACTGGAACTCTGAAACAGGAACTCCTATTTAAAACCCTTCACATTGTGTTTAGTAATTGTTTCCACATCTAAAGCATTCATATCAAATGAATATAAAACAGTTTTAAGATCATATACTGTGAGTTAAAGGGAGATATATGTGGAATTAAAGGAACCCTGCTTGTGTTTAGAAATATAGGTATTCAGGCTGGGTGTCTTTTAATTTGAATGTAAATATTCAAAGCTTTATAATTCAGTATTTTTACCAGCAGTTTGCATTAATTAAGTCTCACCACAGTCTTTCTAAAAAAGGCTGGCTGCAGCATTTTCTATTTACCTCCTTTAATGTTTTTTTTTATCATGAAACATCCTTTTGCTAACACATAAATTACAACTTTCACTTTATAGGATGCCATACCACACCACACTTAGTTAACAAAAATATTTTACAAACAAGATGATATCACCCTCTCCATGATATTAATATGATATGTTCTCTGATCTGTAAACAGCTGGTTATCTT